AAGGCATCAAAACGCATCAAACTTTATAAGGCATCAAAACGCATCAAACCCTAATAGAAATTTGTTTCTAAATGCCTCAGGAACCATACTACGTCGTCAAAGTGCCGAAATATTCATTTTTTTATTTTCCTTACAATCAATGAGGATCAGTTTTTTCGGTGATTATTGCTCCGTGGCAAGTCCTATTTAAAATTTTTTTTTTGTGTCCATCTGGATGTACATACGTATGTGCGTGCAAAATTTGATGAGAATTGGTTGAGTGGTGCAAAAGAAAAACGCGAACAAAGAAGTTGCAAAGTCAAGTATAAGAGCTTCGCTCGCCTTCGGCTCTATAGACGCTCTTTTCATGTTAACATACATATTTTTATTGTTTCGCGGTTTTCGTTTGTTCGTTGAATAACTGCGGAAAGGATTGAGCGGCTCGCTCGCTCAATGAAATGTGTCACTTATGCGAAGGAATTGTCCATTTCGTTAACTTCGACATTGACCGTCAGATAGCGGTAAAAGTTCTATCTTCGAATCGTCCATTGATGCAAAAAAAGAAAACATGAGTAGAGATAAAACTTACACAATATATTCTGCTTACTAATTGAAATATATGTAATAGCGCAACGTGATCCTCTTCTACAATAAAAATTAAGTACTTATTTTATAAACCAAATTGCGATAAAAATATCGTACTCGAAATAAATTCCAATTCTCGTTGACTAAAATAATGCTATCATTATATTATGTTTCGAAATTTGAAGAACTTTGGTTTCTGTTTATCGGTCAGAAACACTGATTAGTGTCACATGAAATATATATGTACGTTTTATACGCGAATATATGTATATTGAGATTATTTTTGGTCGACATTAGAAGGGGAAAAGATTACGCAAAACACCTTTTATATACTTTGTATAACTTTGAAGTCTATCAATTACTGCACTGTACATACTTATGCGAGATAGAAGATGAGTTTCTATAGATAGCAGTTTTTAATCTATACCTTCAGTGACGTATTCACGTTGATTGAAGTAATAACACGACTTTAGTAGAATACAAATCAAGCAACAGTTTTAGTTTTTTTGTTTCGAACTAAATTATCAAATGGGATAAAATGTGCACATTTAGGTAAGGTTATCATAAAAAATTTATCAAAAAATAAATTTTGAAATACCCGGTGTCTCAGATACATATATGTATAATTCATTTTGAATCTTAGAAAAACATAAAAGGTATATGTATGCAAGTACATGAATCAGTTATATTGAATTATTTACTATATTGTTAAAGTTGCCATCTATTTTATTCGTGAATTATCGTTATTATTATTATTGTTAAAAATGAATCATCGTTAGATGGCGCATAAGTTTGACAGAAACCCGTATCGAAATTTAAAAAGGATCTATATAACATGCATATTCGTGTTGTGATCAGTGCACTTTCATTACGTATCGATTTTGAAAACGTGTTGCGCTCTCTTCGGGGCGTAACGACCTTTACCGAATGGTCGTTATTTAAAGAACATATCCATTGAAATTACGATTATATTTGTACACACTCGAAGATGCGAGAAGCGGATATTCAAGTGCGATATATTCGCGAGATGTCATCCGATCCAATCGTACCTATCGTCTGATCAAAACATACGATAATTGTACCCGCGGCAAGTCTGCAATCAGTTCAAGAGCAATGTCGACCTTATTATTACTTTTTTAGGAGTCGTGGCATGATAATTCTCACGAAACAATATTTGTTTTTTTTTTAAATACCTCGAAGCAACAAGTATCTGAATGAAACTGATTGTTTTTCAAATTTCCCGTAAATTTTCATCATTGATAGTATAATATCTAAGAATTAAAATTAATCTTTCATTTACAATGCCACGCAGTCGTTTGGATGCAGTGTACAGAAGTATTTTGCTCACAAAATTTTTTACGAAAGGTTGGGGTAGCCCTGAAAACTTGAAAAGGTAAGAAACATTATTTCTAACCTTCTTTATTTCGTTTAAAACAAACCTCAACACTATATTCAGTTTCGAGTGTGTTCCATATTATTTATAGAGTTAACATTTCAACAAATCCTACATTGCACTGACATATCTTTTCTTTTGCAGTTGTTTTTGTAAAATGGTAAATAAACTAAACAATTAAAAAAGTAACAGAATAAAATTATTAACACTCAAGTATTAAATTAACGACAGGAACAATGTATCTGATTAAAGTGTGGATACTAATCATGATCTGTATTTCAGGATTTTTGAATTTAGAAAAGTTATTGCCAATAGAGAAGCATGTTACAATTTAATACCTCGTGACTATCCCATCAATATAAGCAAGGTATAATAAAAATTATCATAGAAATGATTTTAAAAAAATAAGAACATACAGTTTTACCTACTTATAAATTCTACTTATTGTTTCACTTCCAATGTATGCACTTAAATGTAGGATGAAGAATGGTCAGATTGTCATATAATAGAAGGATCTTTTGAAAGCCCATTCCATAAACATCTTCCTGGTATAATGCCTAGAGAAACCATTACTGCGCATTTTCAATTGGTTCTACCACGTAGATGGAGTTCCCACAAAGTAAAGCCCATTTGTTTACACCTTGCGGGTACAGGAGACCATGTAAGTTTTATTCATTTTATACTCTGTAAACTTTATTATCTGGTATATAAATTTTAGATACTATATTCTTGTATTATTAAACTAATTGTATGCCATTAGTATTTCTGGCGGAGAAGAAATTTAGTCGCTAAACCCTTACTAAAAGAGTCTGGAATTGCGTCCCTATTATTAGAAAATCCATTTTATGGTTCCAGAAAACCTGAGAATCAAATGTAAGAATTTGTATATACAAGGTTTGTAGTTGTAAGAACATATTACATAATAGAATATGTTTATGTTTATTTTGACACTGGTGCACTTTATAGACGGTCTAGTTTACATAATGTCTGTGACATATTTATTATGGGAGGATGTTTGATAATGGAATCAATTGTGTTACTAAATTGGTGCGAACAGCAAGGTTTTGCACCTTTAGGACTGACAGGACTGTCAATGGGTGGTCATGTTCGTATGCTTAGATTTAATTTCCGTTTAAAAAAATCTGTAAATCCATTAGTAAATATTAATTTATATATAGATGGCTTCTTTAGCGGCAACTAACTGGCCAAAACCAATACCATTGGTACCTTGCCTTTCATGGTCGACGGCATCACCGGTATTCACGCAAGGCGTAATGAGTGCTTCAATTAATTGGACACTCTTAGAAGATCAATATTTTGCAAATGAGCTTTACCAAAACGATCTTGCTAAGATGGTGAGAATTATTGGTGAAGAAGTAAGTAGATACTATTAGAGTATAAGAAAGTAGTATAAAATTACGACCAAATACCAAACATTTCACTTATACCATTTCTAGGATGCATTTTTAGCTGGTCAACATTTTGCTCAACATTATCCTGCAAGTATGAAAAGAATAAATGAATTACAAGATAAGTCTGAAGGTGCTAATAAAAAAGTAGATACTATAACTGCCACTGAAACTGTGATTAACAAAGAAACAAATCAGGACGGTGCGTCTGAAAACGAGGACAATAACATAAAAAATGAAATTACCGAAGAGAAAGCAGCTAGAATATTTCCTTTGAATCTTATTTCTAATAGATTCAAATTAAAAGATTTAAGTGCTCTTAAAGGCAGGTACTTTGCATGTGCAAAAACATGTAGATTTTTCGTCGAAATAACTTAAATAACCATTCGTAAATAACAGATACGGGTAATTTATTTATTTCTTTTACTTAAGCATAAAGAAACAAAATTTATTAAAATTATGTTGAATACTTCATGATTATTTTAATAATTGTTACTAACAAGATCGCCTGCTACTAAATGGACACATTTTTTTTTGCTTCTTCTCGAAAAAGCATGGTGTGACATAAGCATGATCATCGTACTTGTTATCTTTGGCAATAGGTGTTTGTTTGTTACCAGTTCCGCGACATCCGTTGTTTTCGGATTGTAAATGGCGTGAACGAGAAGCACTGCAATTTATGTGTGGAATAATGGATGAATGTACGCATTTAAAAAACTTCGAAGTACCTGTTGATACTGAACTGATTATTGCTGTCTGTGCGAGAAACGATGCGTACGTACCACGTGATGGTTGTATGAGTTTGGATAAAATTTGGCCAGGAGCTGAAATTCGCTATATAGACGCAGGACACGTAACTGCCTATCTTCTTCATCAGAAAGTATTCAGGTACATAAATATATTTCTTTGTACATATGTACATATGTCTGTTTAAAAAAATATAATGATATTTATGTATCTTTTACTTTCATTTAATTTACTTATCACTTTCAGATCTACTATTATTGAAGCATTTGAAAGGTCGATGAAAAAGTATCCCTTACAAATTAGTTGATACAAGTGCAATTTTAGTGATGAACTAAATCAGTTAGAGACAATGTAACGAAACTTTTATAAGTGACTATTTTTGGGATGTAATTTTGTGTGCTCATTCATAGTATTATTTAATTCTCCTTTTTTAGACACTTTACAATTTCTACCACCTTTTATTTATAAGGAGTCGGCCAAACGTTGATATTTTTGTTTCAATTTTTGTTTTTCCTACTGAAAGATCCTTATTATCGGATCATTTTTGAGAAAACCAGCTTTTAAAAACTTAGCATATAGTAATGATATATTAAACAAAAATATCAACTATTAGCCACCCTGTTGTTAAACAATTTCGCTACATTAAATATTGAAAAAGATAATCACGTCCGTAAATGGACGTAATTCGTTATACTCACAATCTATACATGTTATATTGTTAAATATAATAAGATGAAGTATGTATTTTACGAATCATGAATAAATTGTAATATATTTTGTAAAAAGCAATAAACTGTTTTATGCTTTTATTATTACAGTTTGATTACGAACAAGTCCAAAAATTTATTTTAAATCACAATGTAGTTATACATATGGATATATTAATGTACTAGTAGTGTAGCGGTATGGCCAACTAATAAAATAATATAAAATAGAATAGTTGCTAATAAGATAAATGCGATAAGCGTCGAATGAAATTTGAAATGATTAGTGATTCATAAATATCGAATAAAGAATAAATACCGCTCAAATGTTACGGGTAATACGAAACAGGAAGTAACGTGGCGCTACCTACAGGCCCGATGACAAAATCGATTAAACCGGAAGCTCCGTAGCCGCTCGCGTAAAGGCCAGGAGCAAGCGTTGGCCACATGTGTTTTGCAGACCGCTTTTCCGTGGAAAAAGATCGTCGAAAATGCCGTGTTTACGTAATCCGTGGTAACGTGACGTTGAAACGGTGCTCCTGAACTTGCTACTGTGGTGACAAAATTTTTAACTTATATCCACGCAAACCGAGGAAGATCCATAAAATAAGGAACGCGAGGAAGAAAAATTACTCGTACTAACGAAGTGCACGCTGATTGTCTGCTAGTTCCCTTTTGTACTTGGCACGCACGGTGTGTATCCACGGTGCATTTTATCAACACTCTTCGTCTCTACAAGGTAGATTTAATCATCGTTTAATAACTCTTCGTTGAACCATAAAATTCATACCGGCTGATTTTCGGTCATCTCATGAAATCGTCGAGTCAGCGTGTTCTTATCCACGCAACCGATTGCCTCGTGTAATATTGCATTCGAAATTGCTGAAACATTCAACTGGATCTGAACACGAATCATTTACATCAACGTTTCTGTCTGTTGGGAATTAAAAAAAAATTCTGATACGAGTGAAATACGAATTTCGGGTATTAACGACCGCGTGTGTGCACACCGCACCTTCTGGAAAAAGCGATCCCTCGTGACGAGTCTCGAGTGGGCGTTTTCTGACCGGCAAATAGCCAGTAGCTGAGATTCTACGATCATCGTAGAATTTTCGTTTAATTCAGCCAGTTCGTGCAACGGCACGGGCTCAGAGGGAGAATGCGTCCGGCCCACGGCATGGAGGATGTCCCTAGATCGGTGCTTTAAAGTCAAATCGACGCAAGGAACATTTCGTGATCTTTGATCACGCGACGAGGTTAGCTCGGGTAGATTAATGTGTCCGAGGGTGTTCGAGGTTCCTCGGGATTCCTCGACTGGCTGAGAGGAAGCAACGTTTCGTAAAAATTCCTCGAGTTAAATCCTCGTGTTCGGACCTCGTGTTTTGTCTTTCGGCGCGTACTATTCAAGATGGCGGCTAAGGTGGCCAGCGGTACTCAGGGAGGTATCGAGAGGGAGGAGGGCCCCGGGGTCTCTTACGCAAGTATCCTTAATCCTAAGAGTGGTACCGAAAATCGAGTTGTAAATAAAGATAATAATAAAGAAAATATTAGTGGTCAAGTAGTTCAGCAGCAATCAGTACCCATTAAGGATCGTATAGCTTCCCAAACTCTAACTACTAAGGGAAAATCTTATCAAAGAACCGAAAGAAGATTTAATCCTCAAAACAAATTGGAGAAACAGTATGGAAACGAAGCACCTCCTTCTACCGAACAGAAACAATTGGCAGTCCAGAAAGACCCTCAGGTTGAACGAAGGCAGGAAATTGTTGTTGAAAATGAACAGATGAACGGAGAAATTGGAAGCGACGGAGAATTCCAAACGGTAGCACCAAAGAGCGCCAGGAGGAAAGAAAAGTTACGAGAACAGCAACGCGATCACAGAGAGCAACACAGACATCGAAATCACAGGCATCCGCTTCGTGGGCATAACGGAAGCAATGAGAGATCATATAAAGAAAGAGAGCGAGGAGACAGAGATCATTTTGTAGGAACTAAAGATATCGTTAAAGAGAAGGAAGAAACGGAGATAGAGTCTGAAAATCAGTCTGTGGCACCGGTTAAATACGTAGAAGCTCCTTTACCCACTGTTAATCCTTGGACCAAAAGCAAAATTGTAGCACCACCGGTACCTGCAAATTTGGTTACCGTTGCACCTGCAGTAGGTGTACCACCTGCTGAAAAGCAAACCGAAAAAGAAAAGAGGGTACTTCAGCCACAACAACAAGGAATTGTTGGTAAGTGTTGAAATACAACTAAATTATTTTGTCCCTTATTATTAGACTGCGGGTGTTTATATATTTATTATACATCAAACTCTGCAGAATATACATCTATTCGTAAAATATTTTTTAAAATAATTAAATCTAGCACATTTTTACAGCAAAGACAAGGGGTTTGTTTATTTTCATTTCTTTGATTTATTTATTATATTTCAGTATAAATAAAACTTCAATTCCACATTTCAAAATTCATTGGTAAATTATGTATATTTTATATTTTAACTCTTGCAATTTTCAGTTTTTGTATCTCTCCATTTTATAGCGTAAAGTAATGATCATTGATTGAAATTTTTAATTGTTCTCTTTTTCATACTTTCTATATCAAAGAAATATTGTACTTTGTACACATGATGAAAGAGGGTCTTATCTAATTTGAGCTATGAAACTATGCCTCTGTTCCTTTGAAGGTGCTGCTGATACGTAATCAGTATCAAGAGAATGGTAACCATACATGGTAACTTATTCAAACAATATTACATAATAATTTATTTGCTTCATTAAGTTACCAAAGCAATTACTTTCCTAATAAATGTCTCAGTTAAAAATCGATTAATTTAAATTGTTGTTATTGCACTTTTGTTAATCTTTATCTTTGCTAGCTAAAGATAATATCAAAGATTGGTGTATACCAATTAGTTTCATATTTTTTTGTATTAATGTTACATAATGAAAAGTTATCGTTTAACCGTTACTAGTCAAGTATTATATGATCTAATTTTATATTGCGAGAAAATTTAACTCAATTAAATTGCAGTGTAATTCTCGCGTAAAATATGGAAACGTATATTTTGCAATGCGCGAATTCGAAAAATAATTACGAATGTCCAATTATGGACACGAGGTATCGCGGAAATGCGAACAGTTGATCATAATCTTTTTATAACATTTCTGAATTTAAAGTTATATGCGTTAATATTGCGCGATTAATTAAAACAAAATTCTACAGATACTTGAAACAATGTGGGAGGTGTATGCGAGGTGAGATATTAGTTAAAAAATCGGAAACGCAAATGGAAATTTAGTTTACAATTTATTTCACACGATATTAGAAAGTTCATGTATTTCGAAAATATTTTATTAGCCATGTATAGATCACTAAAATAGATTAATAGTGCTCATAGAATACGTTTAGTTAACGAGCATTCACGTAACCAAATATGAACATAGAACGCAGAAAAATGAGAAATTCTTAAATCTTGAAACTCTAAAGTTTCCAAACTTCTAAATTTACAAAAGCTGCATCGTCATTCTTGGCGTGGAACGTTAACGCTACTAATACGTAATTCCGCGTAATCCGAATCCACCGGCAGAAAAAATTCTAATTACGAAAAGTATTCGTAATTTCATTTTTAGGAAAGTTACAATTATTTGTTTTGCATGTTACGAAAGCAGTTATGTATGTTATTCGCCACCAAGAAAGCGAACAAAATAATCTCCGTTTTTATATATAATATAACACACATGTAACAAGATTTGTTCAGTTGTCGTATCATTGTAGAAAATGGCTACACTTCGATACAAGTAACCGAACAAACGCTACACGCGTCGATAATTCAGGTGTTTGATCATTCCGGCGATAATAATAGGCAATTTCAAGCGTACGATTCGATCATCTTATCTGCCAACGGGTCCTCGGTACACGTGGCAAGAAAACAACCATGCTGGCAATCAACTTACAACACGTCATCTACAGTCTTTTTTCATTTGCATAACAAATTTTTGATCCGCATCTCGCGACAGCCCTTTCGTATTTCGTAGGAGTTTTTGCATGATCCGATATCTGCAATAGCAATGTAATACTTTCTCTTATCAAAATTTTTCATTTTCTAATTGCCTAATTTCGAACTTCCTAAATTTCAGTAAATTATCAAGTACAGTGTAACCGGATAATCATTAAACGATGAATAGTTTGGTTACATGGTAGATGTATCGCGTATGTCAGAGTACAATATAATTAGTCAGCGAACAGTTAACCGGTTAGTAACAGGTGTAAAGTATTTGATGATAACCGTGTCGCTATTATTCTTGCTTCTGTTTTATTAATTCAGGGCTAATTTTCTTTTGCACCACGTTTATTCGACTGCAATTTTACGCTCGTATAATAACCCTATAGCCAGTTGCTAACTGGTTAAGCGAACAATTGAATGTCTGATTAAAAAAAAACCGGTTTTGTTAATGGTATTATAATAAACTCGAGTCTTGTATAGGGTGTTGCAAGCTAGAATGATTTATTTCTATACGGAATTAGTTAAAGATGCGAGAATATTGGAACGTCCACTTATTATCGGTGGAAATTTTCAACGATGAATTTAGTTATTTGATCACCATCTATTGATCCAATTATTGTATTCATGCACGCAAATTGTAAAGACGACGGGGGCAACGACATTGACACTCTTTCTAAACGGTTGACAGTGGGTCGCAGTACGTGATGCAATTACGCGAACCTCGTAACTGCATTACATTTTTCGCCATAATCGCGACATTCACTCTCGAATTCCTTCGATATTTAATCGAAGAACAACAGACACGGTTGATCCGTAAAAGTAAAAAATTGATTGTCAACGATCGGCGTTAAAATCGAACGAGAAATATAATAATTTTACGCATCTGCGGGGAAAAAAGTGATCGACGGTTATCGATACTCTCATTACACGGGCGTTCGATATACATGTATCGAAATGTGTCGCAGAAAGTGAGAGTGGTGAGAGGTGAAACCAGTTTCAAGTTGTAGGCCTTCTACTTTCGATAAAAGTAGAATCGTAAAGGCCAATGAATGCCTTTCAACCGTATACATACGTAGAACAACTATTTCGAAATAGAATAAAAAGAGTGGTAAAAAACGAAGCGAAGTGTCAAGATCATTTCTCTTTGCTTTTGAACGTGATAAAGTACACGTAGACAGTCGTAAGAATATCGATGAACTTGAACGGTTGAAATACTCGCTAAACTTGCCAATACCTTTTTCACTTCCTTCGAGAAATCATATTTACGAAGAATCGACTTTCATCAAATTACAGGAACAGGCAGCGCTAAAGCGTGTAGCACCCGTTATAAAAATTGATATTATTAAAAAACATTTGTAGTTGATTTTGGATATGTCAGAAAATTTGTTACTAGAATTATATCATGCGATATTTGATAGAATTGATTTTCATAAAATTCGAAAGATCGTAAGGGCGGGGCCCGGGACAAATACCCCATTTTCCTGTCGCTATAACGGCAGTAGTGGAAGTAAGTATGGAGAATCGAGTTTTTCTTCGTGTTTGTACGCGAACGGGCTTCTTGTATGGGTACCCATGACTTGTTCCTACGACGAATTTATGTATTGAATTAACCGGAAGTTGTTGAACGTGCGTACGTGCGTATTGTGTTAGCTGATTATCGATGTAACAAGACGGAACAAATCGGTTGCCATATCGAACCTTTTTTTACTTAGTTACTACACTCGCAAGAGACATTGATTTCAAACAACGAGGACGCCAAGAAAATTATGAGCAACACTATTTACTATTATAAAAAGAAATAGTTATTTTCTATATTCCATATTGAGTTAGTATCTTTACCGAAGTGAAACAAATATCTTTAACAACTTATTATGTTAAATTGTTAAATACAGACCTATCGCATTACTTTCTTTAAAAATATCGTAAAGCCTTGACTTTTAAATATTCGATAATTAATGACTGATAAAAAAAAAAGGTAAAATCCATTTCTTTTTTAACTTGTTCGCGATAAAATTATTGACAAGCGATTAAGTGATATTATAAGTATGATCGTGCTTAGAGTTTGCAGAGCTCTGTGTTAAACTCGCTTATGATTGCAAGTACTTCATCAGATTTATCATTATATCAGTATATTTGTTCAACTGTTACTTTGTAATCTAACTCTGTAGATGTCAATGTGTTTGTTATGTCTAGATAGCTAGGTGTATTTTATTCGATATTACGTCAGTTATTATTTCAGTATTGTGAATTCAAAAGTATATAAATTTAAAGATTTTTCAATTTTTAAACATTATAAAGTTTTAGGACTTTATAATTGAATAAATGACTAATTGTATTACTATGTTTCGAAGGTCGTGCATTCCCCTTAATATACCAATTTCATAATCACTGGTACAAATACTTTTTGTAGTACTCGAGATAAAAACGATATCGCAATATTGCGAGAGATTCATCGTTTTAGTTGCTATCTGGTCTGTAACGGACTTCTCGAAATCGATGAGGAAAGGGCTGCTGGCTGGTTTGGAAGAAAACGAAAATTGCATTTAATGCTGGTTGGATGTCAAAAGACCTAGCGAAGCAGCTGCCAGTATTTACCGTGCTTGGCCGCTGCAAGCCTTCTTCGATTCTCCCTTTTTGCCAGCCAGCTCAGTGCACCGTTGACTCTCGAGCTGCAGCTGCGTTAACGGAATGGCGGGCTTTTCGTTGTGTTTTTCAGTTGAAAAGTAAAGGAAATTCTCCTCTCGGCAGTGATTCAAATATTTCTTAAATAATTATCAACTTACAACCCTCGAAGTTGTACGAGTACTAAAAGAATAACAATATCGTAATTTAGGAGATAAGGGAATATTTCTTCGTGCGATCGTGTCGTTCGTTGCAAACGTACTTTTTACCGGTTTTAAGCCGATAAGGTTCGTCGTGTTGTATTCCTTGAAAAATAGTAATTATCAGTAAAGTATATTTATGTACTTTGTCCGTTTTTTCCATTATCTTTTACAAAAGGCAATGTAAAACTTTCATAGCATATGGAAGAAGTTTACGCTGCTTTTAATCGGCACTTGCAGCGCCTTTTTTATGCGTCTGCAAAGCCGGTGAAATAAAACTCGAGCGAATATTTCGAATTATCTGCTAAGAGTCGTTGATTTAATACATTTTTTCTTTAATTGTTTTATTTCACCGTACGCGTGGCTTTCTTGTTCAATTGCTTCTACAACTTCATCTTTCGGTTTCGAGTGGAGGCGGTAAAAATATTTAATTGCAGAACGAGAGATAAAAAGTGAATGAAGTCGTACGCCGAGCACACCTGTTGCACTATTTCGAAGTTTGCTCGAAATAAGCTACGGTTAAAGTAACCGTTCGACTGTTAAATACGAACACGATTGTACGTCGAGTATAACCGTATTGTATCCCTTTTTGTTTTTTGTTTTTCTGTCGTTCTTAGAAAGTATCGACTTTACGCGCGTCCACGTTTATGTAAACGTTATGTAAAACTTTGAGGTATCCTCTTCTACGCGCGAAGTGAGGACTAGTGAGAATATCAGAAAATTTAGTGTCCGGCGAAGAAAATTACGCACAGGGTACACGATGAAGATCAATAAAAATAAAAATGCCATTGTACAACGTGAGTTCCTCGTATCTTTTATTTTTATGTTAGTGATATTTTTGAAATGGTCGAGCGATGTACGACGTTCTCTTATCGTATTCGAAGGCGAATTTTAACATCAAATTAAATATGAAATTGAAAATATAATCTACGGTTTCTTTTCCACGTCACGAAAAAGATATAAGGAGTTTATATAGTATCCGTATTTAATTTCATTTTTAGTCGCCAAATGTCGATAATTGTGGACGCGGCAATTTTGAAACGATATTTTAATTATTCTGATCAAGTTTCTTCCTTCGAACCAACGAGTTCTTTAACATTTGATAACAAGAATGACTAATGTATTATTGACATATGTATATGTAATAACATGAAATTGCAGGTGTCCTTTATGCGGAAAACCATCTAGAATCGACTGACGCCTGCTATAAAAACGTCGTACGGTTATTAAACGTGAATCATTGCGTTAACATCTACAATCATTCAATATTGATTATTCGATCGTTATACAAATCAAAATAAACTTAGTTACACTTAGTCACAATATTCTGTGACGTGGATACGTTCGGTCAGTAATGTAATTTTCATGACTACTCATTTCTTTTCATTTCGATTTACTTTTATGTAATAATAAGCAATGTTCTGTAATAAACGCAAAGTTAGATAATTCAAGATGCGGTCGCAAAGATGTAACAGAATAGAGATTACACGAGATTATGAAAAACAAAGTAATGTTAACAACCTGCGAGATAAATCGTTGATTACCGCGACAAATCGAACATCTTATAAAAAAGAAAAATAAAGAACGACATTCTGTTCAATGAAGATCGGATTCAAATCTGATAGTATGTTAACGTGATTCGAACGTTCTAGGTTAGGTTATTCCCGGGAGAATTGAAATAAAGAACTGTGCTCGAGCAGGAGGAAAAAGCTTCTCGAGCATGTTTTTCTTACGTTATGGTTCGACATGATCTCAGACAGAGTTTGAACTCATTGTTTGCTGGTCGTGGGAGCTATCTTAGAGCATTATCTCCTTGGCAGACTGGGCTACCTCACTTTTGTCTGGTAGCCAAGTTAACTCTCAACAGGGGCTAAGTCTCGTCAGAATAATAATGGCACGCTATACATAAACTTGTATTATCAATAACCATTAGTTCGAAAACAATACACAACATTGTTCGATACATAGCACTCGTTGTATCTGGTCTTAACAATTACGTCGAATTAACACGTATCGAATTGAACCGTGTCGAATTGATCTGACGGACGAGTTCTTGCGTACATTGTCAAAGAACCGGCAAACAATCGTCGAGCATTCGCTCGTTTGGTACAAACGCCATCCTGAGATTGCACCTTTTTATTTGATATGCTCTAGAATGGATGAACTCAAACTCTCTCGTACGATCTTCCGTCGAGTTGTATCTTACAACATGCTAAATTTATTTGTCTTATAAAAAACTGACTCTTGATGGACGATCATTCGGTTAAGCACAAAGTGCTAACTCGTAAAAATAGTTTACAAAGAAATGTACACCTGAGATGATGATCATATCGCGTTACGCCATGTTTTCTTGGAATTCGACATCATAGATAAGTTTTGTCCAGCCTGTTGGTATGAGATAATCGAGACTGTAATACGAGAAGCGCACGGTGGCAGGTTACTTTCGCTTTCGCGCTGATTTGTGTTTTTGAAGCAAACGAAAGATCGACTCGACTGAAAAAGAGGTCAACGAGCAAATCTACGACTGTATCACTTGCGTAACCAAGCCGTGGTTAGAGTAGCTGTTCACTTCTAGCGCGCACGTTGCATTGCTTATTTATAGAAAATAAGGAAATCAACGATAATGTCAAACTCTGTCTAGCGACAGTATATTCGAAAAAAAATTTCGGAAATATTTATCCTTTATGGATTCTTACAGCAGAATTTTAGGACATTTATATTTAAGACAAAGATTATCTGTAACGATAAAAGGATAATAATTTCACATTTTATCGCATCAGTAATATACTGCTAGTTTGAAGTAATTACCCAATATGTTATCAGCTACAATGTAAAATTAATTTTTCGTTGGATCGGTTAACATTGAATTTCAATAAATTTCCATAAAATGTGATATCCAAACGGACATTGTCTCAACAATAAAAATCGACAATAGGCACTTGTTTCTCCACATTTTTTTAACTCTAGCGGAGAGTAGTTGTAGATAAAAATATTTACGAAACACATGCGTCGAAGATAATCGAGGTCACGAAGTTCTGTATAGATTATAAATGTCACGATAAGAATACGAGTATAAATTGAAACATGCAACGTTAATTATACAAATAATATATTGATCTATAATTGTTTGTTACAGAAAACGGTATTAACGCAGTAAATCATCCAACCATTGTCACAGCGTCAAAGGACAGGAGAAAATTTAATCAAAAGGTTCGTGATCATTTTATCATATAATTTGTAAGTTAATAATTTAATTTGATGTAATAAAAGTGTTAACGAACGTAATGTCATATAAGTAAAATATTGTATTATGTAAATACTAATAGTGCAAAATAATTTGACTAATGCTTCATTTTTTGTTTACGGGACATAATTAGAATTTAGTTTGTAACTTTAACAGGCGAGCGATTTCTCAGACATTGGTGATTGGCCCACATTGGGAGCTCAAGGAGAGGTAAGTTGACTATATTTACTGTTTTTATTTGTGTTTATGTTTGGTTTTTGAAATAACAAACTTTTTGGTAGAACTGTTATAGTTAGCGCTCCGTAACAATATTACGGTACAGTAGAGTTTTGCTATAGCGTTTGGTTGTCAGATATCTAGCGTTCATTCTCTGCGGTCGAAAATAGAAAATTTCTAAATTTTTAAGAGCAAAAGCTAGAACTTGTAGAGTGGAATTATATACCTACGAGCGTAGAACTTTTGCTAAATTATTAGTGAATTTGGCCTCATTGCGGACAAATTTGTTGTCCGTAAGATATCCGATTCATACAAGTTTTTATATCTAGGATTGGATCTTCGAATTTTTTATATCTGTTACTGAACAAAAAATATTTTCCTTTAGAAAAAGACAACTGCGACCGCGCAGAAGCAGAATGGCGTGGTTGAACAAAATAACTCTAAAGAAAGTAGTGGGACTACCATCGAAAGTAAAGAAAAAGAAAACAAAGAGCAAAATCACTGTCAGGAGGACAGCGACGAAAATACGGATGTTACTGAAAAGAAAAAAAGAGGTAACAACGCTTGATTCCTCTCTTTTATAAATGATGTAAGCATGGGGAAACCTTGCTAAAGGACATTATAAATATTTAATATTTGGCTTTTAAATTCGCAGTGAATAAACAGAAATGGGTACCATTGGAAATAGATATAACAAAGAATCGTGGCAAAAGAGAACGTTCTCCAAAGTATCATAATCAAAGGGAGAAAAGTGGAGATGGTATTTAATTTATAGCTTTATTTAATATTGTAGCTTTAAATGTGACTGTATATTAATGTAAAAATTCCATTTTTCAACAGAAACAGACTCTTACAGAAATAGAGAACACGATAGACCAACCTATAATACAAGAGGTGGCCGCGGTGGAAGAAGTTACAGAGGTAGAGGAGGACGAGGTGGACGCGGTGCTTATCGTGGTAGCTTTAGGCATAGACAAGACTATTCAAATTACACAACAGATTATATGCAGGTAATTATTTTAAGCTGCTTTGTATTATCTTAATAAATAAGCAATGAGCATAAGTGGCTAATAATAAGAATGATGATAAACTACGTTGGGAATCTCTCAGAAAAGTATTTGTTGAGAAATGAAAGTAGACCTGACTTTAATAAATATTTCAAAGTAATGACTGCGGTTTCCGAAACAACTTTGACAAATAATTCTTTCTTTTTTATAGATGCATAAATTTGGACATCTGGATCCTCCTTATATGATGCCTTACATAGGAGCATTTTATTACAATAGCACAAATTGCGTCGTAGATACAACGACGCTCAAGGAATGTATAAGGAACCAAATGTAAGTTACACGATTCGTTTGAAATTATATGAAGCTTGGATTTTGTCATATAATAATATAACTTTGCAGAGAATATTACTTCAGCGAGGAAAATCTTTTAAGAGACTTCTTCTTGCGTCGCAAAATGGACGCACAAGGCTTTTTACCTATTACCTTAATTGCATCTTTCCATCGCGTACAAATATTAACTATGGATGTAGGACTCGTTATCGAAGCAATTATGGAATCGGATAAATTGGAATTAGTTGATGGATTCAAGGTACATAAATATATATATTTATAAAAGTTGCACAAATTCTAATCTAAATCCAAATACACTTTACGTGTACTGGATTCAAGATTTGTGCTAAAGCAAATAGAAGAGGATTCGCTGACACCATTAGGGCTTAATTTAAGTCCAATGAATGGGGTTTGAAAGTAGACCTCGTCACAAGTTATTTAAAAGAAAAAGATATTTTAACGCACTTTAGTATTCAGGATAACGGCCGTATCTAAATTTCTCGATTTTCATTTATCAGGTTAGAACGAAAATAGATCCTCTGAAGTGGCCTATTTTGGATGCAGCTGGAAATCCTGTGTTTTCGGAATCGTCTGACACCGCAAATGTATCCCAAAACGAAGTAATACTCTCCGTGTCCGAATCATCCGATTTTTGTCCTGCTGCCAGACCCTTATCAACGATTCCTATTCCCCCAGTTCCATGTGTTCTTCAATCCAACCACATTGTCTCGACCGTAGGAAGAGTCAGTGAATCAGAAAGTATATCCTCGTCGGTAGGCGATAGTTTGAATCCTGACGTACCAGAGTTTGTACCGAATGAATTGACAAATAAGATTAATGAAACTGTTACGGCTAACAGTGAAAATGAATCTGTGAAAACTCAGGAAACGTCGGATGAAATGAAAAGCATTCCAGCACCATCGAGTAATAATGATTCAGTGTCTGTTTCAAATAAAGAATCATCCAAAGTGTCAGCAACGACCAAGTGTTCTAGTCCAACCCGCGAATCAGAAGTACAAATTAATGGAGACTCGCAATCTGGCGATAATGTTTGGAAAGAGGTAATTCTTTTTTCATACATTATCAATATTAATTTGTAAATGAAATTTTCGCGTTCTTTTTAATCCACAGAATAAAAACACAGTCCTCCTTTTACAACTTAGTCAAGATCTTAAATTGAACTATATTTTCTTACTTAGAAATTTAAAGAATACAATGAATTTAACAAGATATAATAGAATATATCCTTACTGATTAACTAAGTTAGTATTTCATTGAAACATCGATGTAATAAAAATTGTCACAAACTGTGAATCTATTTTGAAAGTTATTACTATTAGTGATAAGTAATAACTGAGTTCATGAAAATGATAGGTAAGGCGAAGGGTGAAATCATCACATAAGGAGAGAAATGAAGAGAAAGAGAGAGTTGATAACGTTAAAAGTGAAGAAAGGGAGGAGTTAGATTTTCAGTTCGACGAAGAACTTGATACCCCACCTCCAATTGGACGTCACAATGCTTTCTCTGAATGGTTTGTTGCTGTTATAATTTTTTCTTTGCTCAATATTGTCCACCGATAATTATATGACTGACGTTTTCGTGTAATAAATTCTGTAGGTCCGAAGATGACGAAGATTACGAATTGTCCGACGGTGATGTTAATAAACTGTTAATTTTTACGCAAACAACGGTACCCATGTCTACACGAATTCCAAAACACGAGGGTCATGATCGAACTGGTGATTGGACAACAAGAGTAAAAATGACTCAAGATCTTGAGCAAGCTATCAATGATGGATTGTATTATTATGAAGAAGATTTATGGGTCAAGGATGGCCAAAGGGTAAGTTCAAACATTTTAAAACATTTCAGTACTGTGTACAAATTATTTCCTCACATTATAGTATGGATCTTCTTCGTCAATTGGAAGTTACAAAACTGTTACTGTGATTAGCCAAGAAGACTTTGAAAAAATGGCACCTAAAGTACCTAAGAAAACTAATCCGGAAGTTCCCCCACCACCTCCATCCGCGATAGAAGATATCGAAATATCGCATTCGCTTCCAACACAGGTATCTTATTTTACATCCTTCTTGAACGTTAGTTAAAATTTGCATTGTTTATATGTATTTCTTGAATTTGTGAAACAAATAGGTTCCAATGAGTATCGACAGTCAAGAGAGAAGAGATCGTCGAACGGATAAAAATCGGTGGAATGAAAAGGCAAGAAATAGTAGAAGCGGTAGAAGAGGAGTGGTTCCTCGTTTCTTCGCTGTAGTAAAGGACGAACCATCGGTAGATCCTAGAACACCGAGGAAAAGGAAAACTCGACACAGTAATAATCCTCCTGTTGAGCATCACGTCGGCTGGATTATGGACGTTCGGGAACATCGACCGCGTACATATTCTACAGGGTATGTTCTTGTTATTGAACTCTTATGGAGGCTCAGTATATGGCCGTGGACTAGGCTGCAGGAGTGGAGATAACTGTAGAACGGGTTCCACGAAATATTTTATTCTGTATTTCAGAAGTAGCGCAGGAACAAGTCCAAACGAAGGTTTCCTTGCTAGCAGTTACGGCAGCGTACCACAATCTTTGCCTGCTTTCCAGCATCCCAGTCATGCTCTTCTAAAAGAGAATGGTTTCACTCAGCAAGCTTATCACAAGTATCATTCACGATGCTTGAAAGGTAATATGAATTTCAGAGTAACGCTTTATTGTATAGTATATGATTATAAGAATTTATATGATGATAAATATTATATTTTATGTCTTCTTTTCCCGGCTGAGGGATAGTTATGATGCGAAAAGATGATCTGAAACGTATCTTACTATGATATAAAATGTTTCAAATAATTCAAGGATGCCAATTATAATCCTCTTATGTTTTATTTTACAGAACGCAAAAGGTTAGGAATCGGACAGTCTCAGGAAATGAATACACTTTTCCGTTTCTGGTCGTTCTTTTTGCGGGAAAATTTCAATCGTACTATGTACGAAGAATTCAGATCTATAGCCAAAGAAGATGCATCCGAAGGTTATCGATATGGTCTAGAATGTCTTTTCAGATTCTATAGTTACGGTTTGGAAAAGAGATTTAGACATCACCTTTACAGAGATTTCCAAGTTGAAACGATACAAGATTACGAGAGTGGTGAGTGCATTTATTTAATAAGAGTAGAACTCGATGCACATATTAGGTTGTTTAGCTATTATTTTAATTATTAGTTAAATGGTTGATTTGTGCTAAAGCAAATGAAATGTATTTTAAACATCATGAGGATAATTACCTCGTGTATGATATGTAACATTGCAACAAATTACTTCATGTAATTTTGATAAAAATATGAAACATTATTTTAAGCTTTATAACATTTTATTTTATATTGTACAGGTCAATTATATGGATTAGAAAAATTCTGGGCGTTTTTAAAGTATTACAAATACTCTGATCAACTTCAAGTAGATCCGAAACTACAGGAATATCTATCCAAGTTTAAGAGCATTGAAGATTTCAGAGTAGTGGAGGTAAATACATCTTGTTATTACATTAAACTTATTTTCTCGGGTCACTGAGTCATAGGGAAAAAATATCTATAAATTCCTGAACTTTCGCATTTAAATTTCGAACTTTTCAAATTACAGCCTCAGATAAATGAAATGCTGCAAGGATTTGCAGCAAATTCGCGATCTCAGGCTGCAAAGAGACGCAACAGAAGCGTGTCCGAAAGTGCCGGCGACGGTGATGCTTCACCTACAAGTAGAGTTCGTCGACTATCTGGTGGTTCCAGCACCGTAACACTGTCAACTTCAGGTTCAGAAAATAATCACAACGCGTTGAAGCTTCGTGTGGATTCAGTAAATCTTTCTCAGCTTCGAAACAGAGCAGGTTCGTTCGGTTCGGGCCGATTGGGGCATTCCAGAAGACGGAACGACATCGCCTCCTCGTCAAACAGCCAACGAGACTTAAATAAACAGGCACCTCGAAGCAGACACAATTCTGGTTCGTTCGCGAAACCGCAGGAGGTGAGCAAATCTCAGACCACTGCCAGGGATCGGTTGCAGACGACCTTCAAATCTGAGCAGACGAAATCAGTCACGATCAAGACGGAGAGCACGTTGATTTCTCAGAAGTGAGGTTAACACAAAACCGAGGGGTAAGTGCACGCAAGGCACTTGCCCGATTTGCTAAAAGGATACGAACGCGTTGCCTCCTGTGTTCTAAACAAAGAGAGGAACATCACGTTTGAAGTAACTCAGGAGTATCGTGAACGCGTAAAACTATGAGCACAAAACTTTTCTGTACATAGACGAGAATATGTCAGCGCTTGATCCTTGTCGATGAGGATCGTTAGGGAAGAAAATAAGTGAAAGAAAGAAACCTTCGTCCCCGAGACAGAGTTCATCGAGCTGTTTTTTAAGGTAGTTCGTTAAGGTTGTATTTACAAATATATATATTCGGCTGTTCTCGCTTGTATCAGGACTGTACTGAACACGAATTAAAACTATGCTCAGTTGCCCCGTTAGGATGCTCGTTAAATACCGTAGCGGAAATGAGAAAAGGACCCAAGGTGAACGAATCAATGAAGAATCCAGGCACGATAGCGTGTACGTTTAAAATTGTCAGTCTGAATTTATGCGTTTGTTCAAAATATGATCGTTCGAGCGAATTTCTTTCTTTTCTTCTTTTACGAAAAGACAAGACACGAAGTCACAAGTTTGATGCATGACACGTAAACGCACGATTGTCATCGTCCTTCGAGTACCTTATCTATTGGCGGATAACGATTGAAAAAAAATGCTCTTCTGATTTTTTCCCGATATTTGATTATTTTCTTATTTATCGAGGGTAGATGGAAACTGTATAATTTTAAACAGCGAAAAGAAATTGAAAAATTACAATTAAGTCGAAGAAACATTTTTATACTTAGAGAGATTATGATTCCTCACAATTCTCAAAGTGAACGGTACTAAATGTCTGATTAATGTAAACTATTAGCAGACATGTGAAATTAATTTATTTATCTCTTTTCCAATGTACGGTGATCAATTTTTTGGCTTTCTTCGTGGGCATAGCAGGGCGGGATGCAAAATTTATCTCAAGATATATTTCATCTTATTATTGTACTACGCCTCCTAGCTACGCTCATGTCTTTTTTAAAAGTATAATTGTTCGTACTAGAAATTCTCATTTTGAAACATCGCTGACATTTGAAGTCATTTAGAAAGTCAAATCGTACAAATAATGTTTAGTGGCAGCGTTTATGCTAATTTCAATTTTTCAATTTATGAAACATATCACGTGTGTGGTTTTGTTATTCGTCGTTTTGAGTACCAAGAATTGTACTGTCCTCGCGTAGTTTGCACAAAGTGTTGAATTACTGATTAAAGAAAAAGCCCTGAAAGGCACATCGTTTTAGGTAAATGCTTCTTTAAAGAAAAAAACAAAAAAAAAAGCAAGAAATAGGAATAAATAATTAGATTGATAAACGATTTCAATGTTTAAAGAATTGAACCAAATATTTGAGCAAAGCGAACTTTTCATAATTATAAAGAAGTTGTATAAAAATATAAAAAATCTTAGTGAATATATTGACAAACGAAACGTACTCAGTTCGTGGCCGGAGTATAATGATATATTAATTTTGAATATGAAAATGTATATGACTAATTTTTTTTTTTTTGTAATTCTGTTAATGGTGATGAAATCGATATGCTTAAAGCTAAAGAAAATAACTATTACCAAGAATCAGTTACCAGTGGTCAACAATTACAAAGTTTTAAATATATATTACTTTATTTCCTTGTGCTTGCATTGTCATTACTAGGAAAAATCAATCTTATCGTCAAAACATAAAGCTTTGAATTCAATTTGTTTCTGCTAACTTTTTATCGCTAAGCTAAAAGTAAGCCCTATTAAAATTTTAAATATTCTGCTCAATTTTATCTGTAAAATTAAATCCCATATTTAAATTATCCGCTTGAAATCCTCGTTATTAGAAATACTTTGCATTCTTGACATTTATTTCTTCGTTAACAGAGAAAGAAATATAGTTGTCGACTTTCTACTCTTTCGCATTTACGATAATCAATCAACCTTGAACTTTTGCTGGCCAAGAGTCGTTTTTCCTTTATAAATAACTACAATTCAGAAACAATTTGTATGTGTACAGATCATCTTTCTACAAGTACAAGCTTAAAAGAATTAGTCCAATTGAAGTTCGTAAATCAGGACTATTAATACCAAAATGAAACATCTAAGTTCTTTTGAAAGTATCACTTGTGAATTTAAGAAAGGTTCAATTCACTAGAAAGAGTATCTCGAAATACGAATGGCTGGCTCATTCTTTGGATACACGGTGTTCTCAGTTTCTGGTAGATAATTTTGAACTATTTGTTTGCAGAAAGCGAAAGAGTGGAAAAGTTGACATGTATTTATACCGCACACTTATGAAATGTCTAGACTCTCTTTGAAAGGTAGTGCTCTAGCTTTTTAAATGGTACTAGTCACGCGCTGAGTCAAAACATCGTCGAGATGCATCGTTTTGAACTTCAACCGACCAAATGTTGTTGCTGTAATACTATAATTAATCAAACAATTGGTAACACCATAGTTGTTTTATCGAAATCTTTTGTAACAAAGTTGAGTTTCTGTCGTCAAAACTTGTTTATCATTATTCGCGTCTTAGCGAAAAAGATCATCTTCGTTTACATCCCTTACCAATAGAGTACTTACAACAGAACAACTTATTCAAAAGGATTTCTTGTTTTCATGTCCCTGTACACATATGGATATTTCAAACGATTGAAAGTTTCAAGGTTTCGCCCTTTTTTTTAATCTGTTTTTTTAATGTCCACAGTATACTTCTTTCTGGTTCGATATTTGGTCAAATCGGTCGTGAGATGTAACCGTTAGTTAACGCATAGAGAAATATTGACGGTGTTCAAGTAGCTAGCAATAATACGATTAGTTCTCGAAACTTATCAAATTCTACGAAATTTCTTTTTTTCAGTGGCCTTAAGAGATGAAAACAATCTGATCGGGCATCGAATTTCGTCCGAATTCTGTTTATCCAGAAGTCACTGACGAAGTTTTCAAATAAAATTAGCAATATTAAATTTTTATCTATCGCAACTTGTTTTCTCAGAGAAAAAAAGGGGCAAATTTTATCTTCCGGAGAAGATATAGGAAATTTTATAATAGAAAAGTAACACAGACTATCTTAAGTGATACAAATGGTTTTACCATCTCTCTGAATCATGTGTTCATAATTCTCCGATATAGCGAAGAACGTTTGAACGCTTCGCGTAATCAATCGAATGTCTGTGCATCGGTCACCATGTAATGAATTTTCTCAAACCAGAGATGGACCTAATTTTTTACATTTTGGAAAATTTGCATATATGTATTTACTAATTATGTGATCCTCCAAAAGTGAGTAACAAAAATATACAATTATTTATTTATCAGCTGAGCGTGATATAGACCCAACTAAGAATGCACATACGAATGCAGAGTGTCGATAGGAGATGTACCAAAAGTCTTTTATAATTGCTGTTACAAATAAATTTAAACAAATATGAACATTACCACGTTCATTAAACACCCCGAAGAGCGAAAGTTCAGACTGTTACTTGAAAGTTTATTAAATATTTCTGAACGACATTCTTCAAATTATAGTAACGAATTTTGTTTTTACACCAGACTCTTGGTACAACTCTCTTGAGCACGTAGCAAACGTTCCCTGCATTCTTGCTATTTCTTCCCTTCATCGTCTTCCCTTGAATCGTTGCTAGAACCAAACTTCAACATACGAAACTCGTGTCACGTTACAATTTTCCAGATTTCATTCACTACTTAATTTTTGCACCGGAAAAATGACAGATCGATGAGGCTCAGTAGATTCTCTTAGTTTCTACTGTTTGATGCTTGTTGCCTCTTTAAATCAATCATAGTTATAGAATATAGAATGTCCGTAAAAGAGAGTCTCCTTAAAACACCAAAACGTAAAATATTCAATGTAGTGTCAAAGAATCGAACAGTCAAGGAGACCATCTTTCAAAGGCACTCCATAGATTCATAATTGTACAAGTTACGATTATCTTTGCGTCGATTTTCAACAGACTAAAGATTTAACTTGTCTTTGGAAATGGTGATATAATTTTAGAGTTCCTATGTCCCGTTCGAATTAACCCTTGGATGATGCAGTGGACAATTTAAATTTTAATGTGCCATATGCCTTCAATTTTGGGAAAATCCTCTCCGCGCTGTTCTTCAGATCTTCCTGAGTATTCCTCAGATTCTCTTCCTCGCCTGGGATTTTCTAGGATATTCGTAAGGCCTTCTCTAGCTTGTTCTGGAGTTCTTTCTGGATTCGTACTAGGTTCTCGTCGCTCTAAACTAAATTCTCTTTAGGATCCTCCAAGATTCTTTTCGAATACTCCTTGGAGACCCCCCAAATTCTTCCTGGGTTCTTCCAAGATTAAAGGCAAGTGGTGGAAGACTTACACTTTCTTTTGTCTAAAGGAAGTTTAAGCTGCGACTTCGTAACAATTAAATTTAAGTCGAGTTATTGGTTTTCAGAAATGAATTTTGTTAACGTGTTCAACGATAGACTTCTGGTTGGTAAGATGTTAATACACGATAAATTGCATATATATTATTCATTTAATATCGTTTTTCGCAAACGTGTCCACTCAGTTTCTCGTTAAGCTTTTTATTTTTTGCAACTGTTATGGTAATTCACATTTTATTTAGATCGAAACTGTTTCTTGTTATTTAGGTTAAATTCCCCGTTATTAAGCGATACATAAATCCCACAGGACAGAGTTGCAGTATTATGACAGTTTCAAAATTGACTGGTCGTTTATCAAATCACCCGATCATGTCTTTTTTATAACTATTTTTCAGTATTCAGTGACTCAGAGTTTCTCAAACAGATTAAAATAACTGGCATTATCGTAAAGAAACACTTTTGTTCAACATATGGTCGATTAAATATTTACCGATGCAAAATCAAAACATTGTTCGCGTTTCAACGTAGTTTGAGAAATTCTGCAATAACTCGGCCAGTTTATCCTGACTTCGTGATTAACATGCAATTAATAGGTATATCTTTACGTGTAAATTATGCTATGATTCCATTCAAATTTCTTTGTTTGCTTTTGACTGACTATATGAAGAAGAATAACACTTGGAAAGTAAGAATTCTCGTACATCAACGAATTTAAATCAGAAATATTTGCTGTATCGAAATGATTGTTATACCGATTTTTATTCGTGCTAAAAGCTAGACAAAGAATGGGCGAAGATCGATTTGCACAACGCAAACGTTGAAAAAACGGTGCCAGAAGTTGAAAAAATCCGAAAATACCACGCGATTACATTATGTACATAACAGTCTCCGTTTTGCCATTTTGTACGCGGTGACGCATATAGGATTAGACAGACTAGCTTTTAAGCGAATGACGATTCTCTACTTTAAAAAAAAAAAGAAAATAAAAAAGAATTAAAAAATAATGTTACAAAACGAAAAAAAAAATTAATGATCTTAGGATTAGTCGAAATATGATAGAAGTATCGCGTCGATCTCTATCGTCTAGAGATTGATAGTCATGATTGCCCGTTTTGTATATTAAATTGAAAAAACAGCTTCGTCCCCTTATCGTACTGTACCGTCATTCTTGTTTTGTACTCTTTAGGGACGATCTTCTCCAATTTGTATTATACAGTTCTTATCACCGAAATAGGACAATTAGTATGATACTAAAATTTTACTGATTTTTTATCGGTAATAATGATACGAATATCGATAATTTATAAACGTAGAAAAGATTAGTGCTTCGATTACGAAGGGTTGTCACACTTGAATGTGAATAGAATTTATAATTTGCAAATAAACTGGTCGACGTAGTTAGACAATTCTGAATAATATAGAGAAATAAATTAAAGGTAGAGTAAATTTAGGAAAACATAAAGCAACGTACAGTGAACTTCATTTACGATGGAGGTAGAAATGTACGATTTTGATCTTGAAGAATTACGTTCCAGTCTTTCATCGGCATTGCACAGCTAATTCTGTGTTCGTTAGAATTCTAATTGTTTAAATAGGCTTTGTTGAGAAGCTACATTTTTGTGTTCAAAACCACTGTACTATGAAATGTGATATAAAAGTAAAAGGGGTAGTTTAATTTGTTAGCGAAAAAATAAGGAAGATAAAAACTGTTCCTTATTTAATGAATTACCTCAATAGGAGATGACACATTGCGTTAGTGTTGTTAACATAAATATTAAGTTATCATAAAAATCCTGCTTCCAGTGAACAATGAAATACATTGATCTCATCGTGGAGTTCAAAATATAATTGACTCCCACAAAACTTAATAAAAACAGTAACAATAAACAATAATGAAATGGTACGATAAGGGGTTAAAAATTATCTACAAGGATGGAGTGAAAAGTTTTGTTCTCGCCTCTGTAAAAACCTAATAAGTTAAATAAGCGAAAAAAATGTTAATTATTAAATTATTCAAAAATAACATATTTTATTTTCAGTGTAACCTTTTCAAATTGTTCAATGTCCATTACATAATTTCCCACAAACTGATTCGAAAGAGAACGAACTATTTCAATTCATCTTAGTACATTTCTCCACAAACGACTATTCTATAACCTAAATGTAAATAATTTTTACTGGAAGTCCTTGAAACCACGGTCACCAAGCCAACACCCTGTTATAAAGGGGAGAAAAAGAAAGATAGCACGTATTGCAAATTCTGATACTGTTACTTATATACATACATACATATATATTCTATATATATATTCTATATATATGTATTTTGCTAATAAAATATTAATTTTACACTTAAGGCTTACGCTAAACGTACACTCATATGGGTGGGGGGTTGTCAATAAAACGAGATTAAAAAATATAAAAATAAAAAAAATGATTCCTATATAAATTTTACTCCATACTAGTTTCGTGTACGTTGTCCGTCAGAAGTTCTTTGATTTTTAATTTGATAAAATTTCGAAATTTTCTAAAAAGGATACTATGTTGCATTTTATTTATTATACATTAGATTGTACTTCTCATTAAAGTATCGCAGAACAAAGTTTATAATAATTTCGATGCCAAAATATTTCTTGATCCGTCGTATTTATTCGAACGTAGAAGAATGTTCTGTTCAATACCGTGGGTTATTTGGCACGGAACAATATTCAGGAGATTTAAGATTACTCTTCGAACCTCATTTGAATCGTACATTATTTCTAACGCATAGACTATATTGTTCCTATTTTTTACAAACACGAAAAGAAAATATTGCGATTATTTATTATTAACGAGAATTTATCTTTCGTTATTATAACGATCTCGTGTTTAAATCGATTTTGGCGCGCGTCTCACTTATAGATACATAGAACAGAATTAGCCAAATGCCATGAAAATTGCAAGTTGAAAGATGAAAGGATCGACTGGCGGGATTTTGGGAAAAAGTCACGTATCAAATTTATGAATACGATAGAAATTGTTGCGATGCAAATAGTCGAAGGAAAATTTGCTCTTTTTTATAGGTCAAAATAAAAGCTTCTCGGGTTGCAGGAGAAAAGATAGATTTTCGTTCGCGCGATCTTTTTGTCTTCGACGCTCGCCAGTTCGTTCTTCGGTTCTTCTAATTCTGCTCCGGATTAATGAAAACGTGCCTGACTGAAAAAAGACCGATTTCGAGCAATTTTTTCACTCGAGCGATCAATCTTCCCATCGCACAGTGGTTTCAAACGAGGAAAACGTTGCATGAATTCCTAAATAGCATTAAAAAATCAAAAGGACCTAAATTATATTACTTTGTTAAAATTATCGGTAGATTATTAACGCGTTGATTGCCCTGGGTGTCGTCAGCGATAGTCGCCACGATTTTATATTATACTACGAACGCGAGATATCAAACTGAAAAATGAAATAATCATATGTTTAGTAAATTATTGTAATTTTTCGATAATATGTCGTACTACATACGTCCATTTTCACGGTGGCAATTAACGCGTTAAAAATATCACGAATACAGTTAATAGCGAATACTATGCTCAAACACACAGTACGTAGAGAAATTGAAATATTTTCAATAATTTTCATTGAAAATTGTTAGCCCAGAAGATAACGATAAACCACTGTGTATCGATTGTCAAAGAAATTCTTCTGTAAGCCTCATGACCCTGAACTGACGAAAAATCTCCAGGAAAACGTTCAAAGACTATCATAGCTGTATTACTTCATAACGAGGAAGCCAACTCGTAAATTATTTACAATACAAACGTATTTAGTCTCAGCGAAGAGTTACGTTTATCGAGTAACGTGAAATAGGTTCGGCGTGAAAATTCTTAACACTGAAACAACCAACGTTTAACGATGTAAACATAGCGTTTAGATTAGGAAATTGAACTCGCATATAAATTTTTTTATCTTCATAAAACTCAACATACATTTTGATATAAAAACAGCTTAATACTTTTTATAATTTAATGTACGATTTTTGCAATTTTAAAACGTCGAAATAAGAAGTACGAAGTGAATTTTTTTAGGAGTTTTGGTTGCTTTAGTGTTAAATATTTGAACATTGAGAAACACTCGCCAAATCTTTTCGATAAAAAGAGGCGATTAAATCCGGTCTTTTTCGCTAGAATGAAGAATATATACCGATGTATTTTTTCAGATTTAGACGAGCACTTAGAGAACGATAGATAGCGGTTTCTTACTGATCTGAACGTACGACGATCTTTTTTGCATAATACACGATTTAAAAAAAAAAACGATGTCGAGCAATCTTCGACCATGTAAATACGATATACATACATTAGCGTAACGAGCAATATATGTATAATGAATAATAGGAAAATGAAAGGATATGCGTGAGAAACAGTTGCGTATGTGTACGTGTATGGGTGCGTGTGTGTGTACACGGTGAAAGCAAAATGAAAAAAAAAATATAGATATATATATTATATATACATATATATAATATAAGTTACATATTGTAGATGTAGTATATTTGCCTAGGGACGTACGCGAATTAAGGGTGTAAAATGTGGTGAAAGGTGTCGCGTGAACGATCTCCGAATCCTGTATGAATAGTAAGGTTGTAACGTTTGTGAATGTATAAAATAAACAAAAGAAAAAAAAGGACAAAAAAACGGACTGCAAAACAAAAAATCGTGTCGATTTCTTTAATTCCCTGCAATAAAATCATAATTACAATTTGCACGCCAGTGAAAATCGTGTGGAAAACACGATTCGATATTTCATGAAGTAGATCCGAGTGCAACGTAATGGGGTTGAATTTCTTTTTTTAGTATAAAGACGGAAAGAGGAGGTCGAGAGGGGAGGGTAACTACGCTTGTAATTCCTCGACCGGAACTACCGTGGGCCATGTGGCAACGTGGAACTCCGCTCGTAACCATAAAGCTTCGAAACATTGCCAGCAGATACAATTTAATCTTCTGCCTCTCTTTGCTCGAGTAACCACGGGACAGGAATAACGCCCGTTCGCCACCTACGTATTTGTATTTCTTTTAATTACATCATATACCGCTCTCCTTCGATATTTTTTCTCTTCGTCTTTTCTTCGTAATTCCATAGCATCACGTTCACGGGAAATAAATATCTGTTCGTTGTTTTCACAGTCGGTATAATTTAAACATAATACACATGTATCGATGGAAGTGATAAAAAATGATATTATATTGTGAAAGCAGTGGAGAAAGTACTAATGTGGTATTTTTTTAAAGGAAAATTAACAAGAAGTAACAATATCGTCGTTTTTTTATAATACAAATAAATACAAGTCCTTTATTTTCTCTTAATTACACTATGTATTTTATCTATCTTTCTTTCTTGCAGCCAGTCGAACCAGTCTCAAAAGCGCGAATCTTCGGGATACTGTCTAGATTTTTCGAGCATGTGTAATTGACGTCCCAGTCTAGGGGAAGGTGTCCACGGTACTCGACGTCCTAAACGGGGTGCGAAAAGGGGAGGAAGCATTTGCTCTTCGGCGTATAGTTCATCTTGATCCTTTGGAAAACCATACGAGAAGAAGTCTTCTCCCGATTCTCTTCCCAAGCGAGGGGTGAATTGAGTCGGTTGTCTCTTCTCTCCTCCTGTTACAACATTTTAAACATGCATTTCCATCCATTGAACAGTCGATAAAAAATAATCCGTAAGAATTTTATTCGGCGCCATTTTGAGCCACGGTTTCACGGAAAACACGATCGAGACTAAACACATCGAAATGACGAAGAAAATAAATATTTAACTGTCCGAGAAAAATACCTGGAATCGTGATGACGGTCCAACGAGAACCATCGAGAAAGTTCGCGAGAGCCTCAAGATCCGGACTCGTTTCCAACTTCCTGTCGGCTCTTCGTCGTCGTCCCAATCGCGGCCCGAACCACATGCCGCTGCTGATATCCTGTGTGGTGCGTTTTATGCACTTGCCATCGGTACACGAGCCAAACTCGTTGCCCGCTGTCCTCTCGTTGCTCACGCTGCTCGGCGATTCTCTACCCTCTGTTCAGAAAATTTTCTTCGTCGTTATACGAGAAAAAGTTTCACGGAAGAATAGAAACCTTCACAAGCGGAATCCACTATTATGAATGAATTTCACGAAACAGACGTACCGTATTCGCCGGAAGTGGATGACACCACGCAGAAGAAGCAAAGCAGGGCGCACACGAAGGTGGCACGATTAGGCGAGATTACGATCGAATCGAGCATCTTTCGCTGAAATGCACCGTATCACGGAACTTGTCGCCGAATGATGTCGATACGGTCGCGAAGCTCAGGTTTTATAGGGTTGCAAGGGCTACCCTTCTTCGGGGGTTGCTTACGTTCGCGTTTCTATCGTTGTCTCTGTTTGTCGCTTTGCCCGCGACCATTTTTCTCCCTTTCGAGCGTTCGATTTCATTGGAACGCAAACACCCAACCCCGCAGGGAACAATCTTGACGGCTCACGAAGCGATTCGTCTCAATTTCAACCGTGATCCGCGCTCTTCCATACCTAATGAGTCGAAGAATGCGTCCTGCAAACCACCCCTACCACCCCTGCAAGCCGGAAACGTTCCTACAGTTCGGATTCATTGACTCGACCGGGATTTGCAGGAATTTCACCACTATTTGTTTCACGTTTCCCTTTGTTTTTCTTATTTTCTTCTTTCTCGCTCTCGTTGTTAAAATACATTTTTTTAATCGACGTCATTTCGAACTTTTTATACCTTCTTTCAAATAATGCCTTGATATAACATCGTGGCTTTACGGAATTTTAAAACACAATTGGGACAAAACGTTTATGAAATACAGCTAGCATCTTATCATTATCCAAGTTTATAGAAGTTTGTTTTACTTTTCATTCGCTTACTCTTTCGTGTTATTTTTGATCTAAAGGGCGTGAAACATAATACCCCAATGATCGAATACGAACTTTTTTAAGCTGCTAATTGTGAATCGGTGATTTGGCGGAATCTAAAAGAGAGACGAATATTCGTGGAATGACTCGCGACGTTCAACTTTAAACGAAAATAAGATTGGAGCCGAAAGCGAGATTCAATGAAGCACCCTCAGTTTCCTATTCGCTGAAACTCAGGGGGGTTCCGTCGGGACAATCTGTTCTCGATTAAGCTTGTCAATTAACCAATTCAATTTCGGGATCGACGAGATCATGGCGTACTGAATCTCGACCTATAAAAGGTCAACTCTGCTCGCCGATATAGCATTTATTGGTTGACCGTCGAACGACGCGTATCGTTTAATCCGTATTCGAAGTGACGTCAATTAAAAAGAATCTGTATCGTAAAAGTCAGCGCATGTACTAATGTACGTTATATCGACAAGTATAGTTCTATATCCCTAGATCCTTACGTATAGATCCTTAGATATACTGGATCCTTCTTACTTTTATTTTCAGGAAATTCTGTACAAATGTTAACGAAGGATAAGTGTCTCAGAAATTTGATTGCATAAAAGGCAACATCGATTATTCAATGCGAAAAGCGTTCACGTCGCAACAAGTGTTTCCGTTGACTATTTGCGGGATACTAAATTCGACTAGAAGACGTGAACCATCTCAGAGAACAGTATTGTTTACCAAAGCGCAGTAGTTTCGAAGGATAAACAATTTGAAGGGAGATTTGTGGCGTTCCACGCATAGTACGGTATATTTCCTTACAACCGTACGAATTTAATTACTTAGCGCTATATACTTTAAAAGTCAAGTATCGTTACAATTATTAAGTACTAAGAGCACGAAATAAGTTCGAACTGGACAATCATGAAAATTTGTTGTTGTTGTTCAGGCAGAGTCTGTTCTTTGATTGTCGAAGAAGAGTATCGCTGTTGGACCAATTAAGGAAGGCAGAGCGACACATGCAAGAGAAGGGACACAGTTTTTCATGAGCAACCCAAGTGGCCGAGTTATTGCTCTGTACTTGGACTTCTCGTACGTGGACCTTCGATACTTGTCAAAGCAAACAAACGTTTGCTTCATACTTTTTCTTTCTTTACACATATGTACGTACATGCTGTTCCCTCGAATGTCCTGAAAATATTCCCACGTAAAGAAGTCTTTTTCTTCATTTTGCGTTCTTGTTTGACTTTACCAGACAGAGAAAGAAATTTAAGAACAAGCAATGCTTAGGAAGCACGCGTTTAACGCACTGACTGCCACAGGTGTTATCACTAATTGACGAATTAAATTTTGTACAATCGAGAATTCTTTAATCGCATTAATTTCTTTAATGACTAATTGCGAACCACATGTAGAAAGATCAGATAATGTCCCTTCTGTTAAGGAATACCTCCAGCGACGATATAAGCGTCCGTAGTCAAGATTTCAATCTGATGTGGCTGCAAGTTCGAAATTGACTGTACTTCCAAAATGACCAAATGGCACGGTAGCAATGACAGTGTTCCAACTAATCAAGTATTTACTGTTAATCTTGATCTGCGTTCAAGGCAGTGATCGATCGAACTCGTGTCTGCCACATTGGAATACTTCATCAATTTCTATTTCCCTCGACCCCTTATTCTCTTTTTTATCTTCCTCGATCGCACAGCTACAGATTTTACTACCAGAAAGCATAGAAACGTAAATACGAAGAACAATTTGTCTCCATTCGACATGGAAGAATTTTTGTACGTAGTAATGTTCCGAAGACATCTCTGATTCCAAAGGCTTTTGCAACGTTGGTAGGTAACATTTTGACAAGGAAGCAACGATCTCATCGCAGCTACCGAGAATAACCGAGTTCCTTAGGTGCCGAGGAGTGTTTATATCGTCGATTTGGGGTTTGGAGGTGTTCTGGGCTTCGTCAAGCAAAGAGTTTACAAAGCGGTACCGATTCACCTTCTCGTGTCTTAACACCTTCTAGCAGGGTAGCACGTGCCTCCTCTTCCTTCTCTTTTTTTAATTCTTTAATACCATGAAAAAAAACTGTACATTTTGTGGAGTTAATCCTCAACTATCGTATGACTTGGAAATGTAATATGCGCGATAGAATCCAACGCTTTGAGTGCCATGTTATTCATATTCGTGCGAATTTTTATAACGTGTTATTTATGCAAAAATTATTACCACTTTGCGTAGAGGTCTTACTGCAGCGACGGTAAAGCCGAAGGCCGACATTAGCAGACCGATTGATGACTGTTTGTTTATTGGAATGTACGTCAAGTGGCACTATATTATAGCCACATACATAGACACTCGTTGCTAAACTCAGGAAATGTATTCTACGTCTTACTTTTGTACAAACACTTCAGTCAACTTCCTCGACCATTTCGAAGTGTTTCGATGATATTTATTTGTTTTATCGCTCATGTATGAACATATTTGTTACAAATTAGGGTCAAATAAGTTTGATATAGATATTTGAGCATAACAGAATTGTAGCTGAACTTGTTAGCTAATGTTCCATCATGTGTTTAAAAGAATACAATTTATTTTCTGATAAAAAAATTTTTGATCCGACTTTAAATATTCGTCGTAATCATTTTATGCGATAAGTATATAATCAGTTATAAACACAAAATGGAGCATGCATTCTATTAAGCGAGAGATACGATTGTTAATTTGCAATAAACAGACTGGAATGTCGTCAGCGTGAAATTATCGAATCGATTAAACAATGGAAACATCGTGGATAGAGATGTCTTCGAAGGGTACCGCAAATATTTAGTCTCGATTCTCGATCGATCGTCGAACGAGTAATTGTTTATTTTACACTCGGCAAAGTGATGATGAAGAGGATAACTGTGACGACATAAATGACACTTCGAAGATTGCTACGTGTCCGTTGTTCAAACCTTGATAAAAACGATCTCGAATAGAAAATTAAATAAAATGTTATTTTTCATCGATATCAACGAATTTCTTCCAGAGATTATGCCTGAATATTTTAAACAAAGTTTATAGCAAGCAAGAGCGTGTTAAGTAGTTTCGATATCGTTGTATGAAAGGCAAAAGTAGCTTCTTCTCTTTCGATGGACGTATCAGGGAGACGCGAGGATTAAAAGATCAAGTACCGGCGCCAGGATATTCAGGAAATCCGAAACCGTCGCCGTTGAACAATGCTTTCTCAGCATGTTGCTGAAGAAAACACGTTTCCCACGTAATGGGAAAACCTGGAGACCTTGAGGGATAAAAAAAAAGGAAATCTGCGCAGTTAAAATGTTTGCATGCTCTGCCGTGAAAATGACTCGCTCTTTGTTCCAAAGAATAAAAATCATCCGCTTTTTTTTAATCTTAAATTTTTAGGAACGAATATTTTATTTTAAATAACATAATTTTTGGAGATGGGTAAAAGAAAACTTTTAGAGTTTAAGTTACGACACTCCGTTTATTGCTAGTGACTTTTTGTACGTCACTCGCTTTATTCGAAAGTTTGTAAGTAAAGCCAGTCGAATGTTTTGATAATAAAAAACAAATTGTAACGGGTAGAACGGAAAGTGAATATTATCGATTTTAAATTTACAAAATGTTTCCTCGGGAAATTACAATGGAATGAATTATAATCGAGTGATTCAGTAATAGCAAATTTAATATTGCACTAAAATAATTAAATGTGTGGTCCTAAGAGTTACCTAAAATTACACAATTATACACCTAATTTGTCATAGGTTTACCGATATACGTTCTACGCTCTAATTAGTCTTCCGCACTTTCATTTTTATTTCTTCTTACTATACAAATTTTATAAACGAAGAAGTTTAGAATTTAAGTTGTTGCAAAGCGTAAATGTAAGTTAACGAAAGTTAAATGTTTACTCACCGTGATCGATGGTATTTGGTGATGGATAGGAATGCGAAGAGAATGCAGAAGACTAATTAATATTAATTATAAACTAAGAAACAAGACACTTCTATTTACATATGTAACGTACACTCATAAACGCGTATTTACAAAACGATCACTTATCATTTTTCTTTTTTACATCTACTGTGTCAGTGTAGTCGCGCTCCATTTTTCCATAACGCCTACGTATGAATTTCTAATAAAATATTCAGAAACAAAAACGAATCGTGGTGAAAGTGTTTGGTTGAGAAGAATCTAAAATACTGTTTCGAATTTTGGTTCGTTTGATTTTCGATAACTATACTTGAACAGAAGTTGAGGATATAAATAGAAGTTGGTGATTTTATTGAATCTGGTTGGTTGGCGATTCCTGCTTCAATTCGAAGGCCCACATATGCTGCGGCCATCCGGTTCTTCCTTTGCTCTTCGACGATTCCTCGGAACCCAGACTCGACGTTGCGTGCAAACACGACTCGTTCTGTAACCAAAAACAATAATTTCTAATTATTATTAATTCACATTTCAGCACCATAGTGTAACGAAGAATAATTTACATATCAGAACATACAGATTTTTCCTTTAAACCTTTTACACTAAAAATATTGCGGTGTAAATAGTCGTTACAGTTATTATCTGAGCGGTTAATGAAGTAGGAGAAAAAGTAGTAAACGTCGACGTAAAGTTTAGAATTCGAAGCATTCGGTGAAGATCTAAGAAATTGGATTAGGAGGTCCATGACCTCGGAAGGGAAAAAATCCACCGTGGGTGGCGAGAAAATAGAGAAAACCACAAACTACCGGGTCCGATGGTTACACGTCTCCCCAAAAGTCAAATATGACACGATACCTGGCGATCCAACCACGATCCATTTCCGTTATCGTTTTACAAGAATTCTTTCCTCTTTTACACATTAAATTTTTGCTCGACTCTGCTGAACAGAGGCATTAAGATGGAATTTTGGAGAATAGAATAATAAATAATAAATTTTTAAACAGTATTATTTTTGACAGTTTGACTATTGGAAAGTCTTTTCTCCAGATTTATTCTTGTTTTCCAATTTCTCAACTCCACGTGTCGCAGTCAGATTAATATCCGTTACAACGTCGATAAAAAACGTTTTTGTGTCACAACACGACGACGACAAATGGAGAATTCAACAGCACGCGAACGGGACAAGAGATTTTTCTTTTCTCCGTTCCCCTCCTTCTTTAACAACTTCGTGGTACGATGACGAGTTTAAGGTCGAGTTCTTAAGCGACGAAGAACGAGCCTCAATTAAAAAGGGCGATGTTTATTCGATGGCGACGCTTACGAAAGTGTTCCGGGAGAGATTTAGAAAAATTCACAAAGCCTTATATTTATGTTATAAATGTCACTCCACGAAATTTTCGAAGAGAACTGTAAAGCTGAGGAAACATTTTCGTTCACATATTTGTTCTTATTCAAAGGAAGCCTACGTTACTAGACACTTGTCATATTTCTGAACAATTTATTTAAATAATCACCAACCTGACTTGCTTGAGCCGTTTTGTTCCTCCTCCCATTCGACAAAATTTCTGCTCGAAAAGTCTGCGGCTCCTCTCCTTCGTCGCTCTCCAGCACCGCCATAAGATATCCGATGTACGAAGCTGCCAGCCTCAACGTCTTAATCTTCGACAATTTCGTGTCAGCGGGGACGTTTGGTATGCAATCTCTGAGATCGGCAAACGCGTTGTTTATACTTTGCGTTCGTCTTCGTTCTTTCTTGTTGGCCGTGTTCCTCCTTTTGGGTCTGATCACTACACCACCTTCCCTCGTTCCTTGCCTCAGATGTTGCTGAAGAGAAACGTCGACCTGATTCATCGAGGTGATCGTAGAATAATTGCTGTCTCTTCTGTGGGCTTGTTGCTGTTGTTGCTGATGATGATGATGATGGTGGTGCAGGTGGTGAGGAAGCTCTTGCTGAGGTGGATACATTAGATTGGAGTAGTGTTGGTTGATCGAGGGGTGAGGGTATTGTTGCAAGGGGGAGTAACTGGTCTCTTGGACACCAATTTCTTCGATCAAGGGTGGCGTAGAGGCGGTGGGACTTCCTGCGCCGGAACTACCCCCGGAGATCCCAGAATCCGCACCCCAGTACGTTGATTGGCTGTCCGCGTCGGGAACGTTCAGTGGACCTGCATACAGAAATGGTCGCTTTACATTTCATATTCCACGATTCGATGTCGCTGCAGTATACAAATTCTTAAATAAATTTTAACTCGGCGAGTTGTTGCGAAGACAAACTGTTCAACGTCGTTCATTGTGGCAACTTTTTCTAGAAGCTTGAATGAATATAGACATTTTTTAGCGATGAAGTAATTCTGAATGAATGCATGACTACATCGATAATTTCACAGAGTTATGTCAGTATTTCAAAATTTTTAATATTTATTGCTAACGACAATTTATATTAGGTAAGGCTTGAATGTAATATGAGAAGCTACAACTTAACAGTGTAGCATATACTTTAGAGAATTTACATCTAATACGGTTTTTGTCGTGAGAAGCGACGGGTCGACGAGTTTAAGTGGTTAAGTGCTTTTTCGCCACTTTAAAAATATTCGTTCCTTTTGTACTTTAAAGACTTGTTCAAGGATATTTTTGTTAATGTAGCCACTGTTAAATTCTCAAGAATCGTAAACGAAATAGTAACTTAATTTTCAAACATGGTTTATAGTTTCGTGCAAAATTATCACGTTTTCGAATAAATCGTATAACTTAGGAGGTCGTTTCAGCAGAAAGCAACGCAAGAAAAAGCAAGCTCTGATTAAACTTGGGAGAATCATCGAATATCGCTTACCATATGGTAGCTGTGTAACATAATTGTAGGGTTGATGCCACTGCGGATAATAATCCGGTTGCGTCTCGTAACCCCCCAGCATTGCAGCCCCTTCACCACGATCTTTCACAAAACAATCCACCAGTCACCCCAATAGGACTATTCAATTTTCTACGAAATAAACTGTAACTTGTCACATTCACCACAAACTAAATGAATCCTTCGACCCGATCCCGTAATCGTAAATCTTCTTCGAATTTAAGAGGAAGTAACTTCTTCGTCACCACACAGGACAGTAACAACCGTTAAAACTAATTCTTCTGTCAGTGCAAAATTGGACTGGACTTATCAAATCTGTCCTAAATAGTATTCATGAAATTCAACGTGTCAACCCTCCTAATTTGGGTCGAATCTTCCTCCAAGTACTCTTCGAATCCAAAGGGTATCAAATTTTTTGGCGTAATACGTTCCAGTGTTCGAAGACGATCTTCCCAAATTTTGAAGATCGCGAAACTGGAAACCGGAAGATCACGATTTCTGCACTGTGATTCGCAACGATACCAATGCTCAGATTCTTCCAATTTGAAAAATTGCAAAATCGAGACAGAACCGGCGAATGTTGCTCAAACAATATTCTTCAAGTTCAAAAGTGAACAATTTCTTCGTAATGACTCGCGATGATTCCGGCGATCGAGAATAGTCCTTCGTGTTCGGAAAGGGTTTAGTGTCGGGGTTGAAGCGGCAACGAAAAATCGTATAGGTCGCGAGGGATGCAAGAGACATGCGTTTCCGGATGCAGTTTAAGTATCACTGAGAAGAAGGGAGATTTGGGTGACGCGCAGCCACGGCATGCGTTGCTGCCTGCGTTATTCAATGTAGTGGGTGTAGACGAGCAAAAGGGCGGAGCTTCGTTTGGTCGACGCCCATGCGGACTTTTTTTTATTCAATTAGTAAATTGAAAGGGGAATCAGCGAGCAGAGGGCCATGATTTAGGATTCCACCACCGGAACATCGTCGATATCAGTCATACAATTATTATTACTGGAGGAAGTGGTCCAAATATGGGCTCCCACTTTTATTTCAGGACATGTTGCCAAGCATGTTCAATACTTTTAAGATGTAACACTTCAATGTGTATTTATAATTTATCTGCTACATGATATTAAGTTAAAATAAGCTAAAGAATGTTTGCAACAAATTGTGCATTTAAAATAAAAATACAAATGAAGTATTCTATTTTTAATTTCATTTAAAATAAATTGGAATAAAGCTATTTTTTTTGCTATCTATTTTTTGCGATGAAGAGTATTCAATACAATCACAATTATGATTATATCGAATAATGAAAGTCAGATACGCCAGCTCCAAAACCAGGATGAATAGAGTAGATCCTGTTCCAGAATTCTCGCTACCACATCTCTTTTAAGCCGTTCAATTTCTTCCGAATCGTCGGAGAAAAGCGGATACATCAGCTTGCGTTTCTCTGAATTTTATTCGAGAGTGTCCTATTTTAAATTCGTGGCGGCCTTTTAATCTGAACCGTCGAGTCTTACTCGAGTGGCTTTCGATAAAGGTCGCTCCTTCCACGAGCGCCGTAATTAGCGGCAAAAACAGCTGAAAATAGTATCGGTCAGCGCACGAAGATCGCTTTCAGGCCAACTTACAAGCGTAAGTGGCTTTATCTGTCTTTTTCCCAGGGTGATGCTTCTCTGGATAACAAAAAACCACCCCTCTGTCACCATGGATTACCCTTAACTCTTTCGTTCATCAACTTTTTCATCGACGCGCTCGCGACTCGATGTGCAACGAATCGATACGAGTCGAGATGATAGTAAATCAATTAGATTCGATGATCTAACTTTACATCGATTATTAATGTATAAGGAAGTATTCAAGGGTCAAAGACGACTTTGGTTCGATAACTTTAATCTCTTAAATTAATTTCGGTTCGACCAATACGAATCGGTTTCTAGGATTAATAAACCGAACGAAATATTTGTTCTTTCGTGTCGAAATTCTGTTTTGACCACGTTGCCAATAAATTCTTCGTGGTTCGAAGATGAAACGTTGAACGCGAAGTTTAGGACGATAAAGATGATTTAAAGATCATTTTCCGGGAAGGAATATCTTTTTCGGTAGCACGGCTGTCTTTCAACCCCTTTTCAAACGCGATCAAAGGACTCTTCGATGACTCGGAGAAGGCAGAAGAACGTTCCGTCGGTGTTTCTTGAAACGCGACACCCCGGTCGAAATTTTTATTAGCCCAGATCAGGGAACACCGTGTTCCTTTAACAACTAGCCACTGTGTACATCGTTCGGGAACAAAAAGGGTTTGTTTATTATTCCAGAGGTGAAGAGTAACCGTTTGTCTCGGCGAAGATCTCGTAGAACGATACTCGATGCTGCTTACCTTCTTTCGCTTTTCACCAAATTTTTTCGCGAGTTAATGGAATTACGTTATAGAGTTTTAGCACTGTACGTTGTAAAATAATAAATTTTCGAAGCAAAAAGGTTCGAACGGAGAAAGCAAAGAGCGTCCACGTGCATCCACGATGGCGTTCACGGTTTTTAAAGGGCTGTCAGATTTTCATGAATGAACCCGACAAGCGGACGTAGTAAGCAAGAGGAAAAGACGACCGTCTAGTTTATGATATACAGAGGACACGTGTACGCAATCCCAGTGTTTACGTTTTCGATTTGTGACACCGGAACAGAGCTCCAAAATCTGGCAGAGGATCCTTCATATACCTCTGCCAAGGATTCTTCTTCTTCACGCTATTTTAATAAATCTACAATTTATAACGCATTCCTCGTTCTCATATGACAGCTTCTGTCTTTCTACGATCCTGGAGGTAAAGTAATAATGATGGGTCTAACGGATGTTGATCCAAACCCGGTATTTTTATTCAATTATCCCCGTTTCTGGCTACCATTTTCATGGTACTTACGGAAGAATCGAGATAGATACCTGAAAGAATGATAATCGCCTGACAAATTAGGATCAAGACCACACAAGAGTTCAAAGAACCATTTAATCTCTTCAAAGACATTGACACATATGTATAATCTTTCTTTTTTTTTTTGTGTCAATATGTAGATGTTTCCTCTTTAGTTAATTGATATTTTCTGACGTTTCATACACTTCTTAAATCAAGATTAAAAATCAACGATTTATTTTAGTAGATTTTGTAATAAACTTGATCGAGATCCGAAGGTTACTCTATATCCAAAATGTTTATATTAGACTTGTTTACGATAAACGATGCATGTAAAACAAATCGATCTGCAAACGAAGGCAAAGTGTGTTAGACGACCTCGTTTCTATTCGACACGAATCATTAAAGCGATTCGCGGTGTATACAATTCACGGTACACAATAAGAGATACAGCAGATACATTACAAGATTTACAGAAATCAATTACAAGCGAGACTTGGATCAATAAACATTATATTTGAATTAACGAAAGATTTTTTATCCTTTGATGTGATATTAATGAGACGACAGATATTTTTTTAACCGGTTTGCAAAAGATCTGTTTCAAACGAATTCTATGAAGTAATAAACAAAAATTTAACGACAAGCTAAAATTTACAGTTATCATTTCGAGCATATGCATCTGAAATTGTGAAATCTCAACGAAATGTGACGAGAATGTATCGGTAAAATTAGAAAATAAGAAAATTGATGGAAGATGAATGGTATTATTCCGGATTTTCCGAGCTCGACGGGCAATACCGTGTCTGTCTTCGTCTTTTGTATGGAAGGTCCATTAATACTCGGTAACGCAATAAACTATATTTAGGGGGCGGCATGGCGTACACGTAGTATGATTTGATATCTCCTGAAACGCCACATGGCCCCTCTGAATTTCTCTCTTCTGTCTTGCTCTCTCATCCCTTACGATCTTTACTTCCTCTATCTTTATCCGACAGTGGAACCTCACCATTTACCGCGTAACTTCTGCTCCTCTTTGAGAGATTAACTTTTAACGATTATCGATCTCCGTACAAATTACTTCGAAATTTTTTCATTCTTTTCTCGAGATTACTGGATATAATCAAAGTTTCATTTTCACTATTTATCTATTGCCAGCGATAACTCTTTCTTCTTGTCTAGATAAAGTGCAAATACATAGTGTTTTTAAAATTTAATAATTGGTCATTCAACTTTTGCTATAAGACCCAAAAGTAGACCATCGGATTTGGACGATGTGAGATTACTAAAAATTTGAGAAGCAAATTCGTAAAAATTGAGAATTCGAATTAGACGGGAGGCAAAAGAAACCGGAGTAAATGAAGAAAGAAGGGAAGAGGAACCACGTGTCATCGTGCGGAAAATAAATAAATTCCGGTAGCTTCGCTACCGATGAAGCGCAGAACACCGCGGTTCAACTCTTTGTTTACGTCTGTCGGTGTTTCCTGAAAAAAATAGCCTACTTAACGACGGAAATAATAATTAGTGAACGGGTAAAGCCCATGAAACTCGGGTCCACGAGACTGGCACGCGTTTAGTCGGAAAAAAATTCCCTCCAAGTAAATCATCCGCTATAGCAATCGTTAAACGTCGGATATATTTTAGATATCTTTTATAGAAGATGCTCCAATTCTAAATTATACTATTTTTTATTCTCCTGTCCCATTTTTATCCGTTCGTTCATGAACATACCAGATGAGCGATAATTAACATGCTCGTGTTCCGATTAAACTTTCCACATACCTCTTAAGCCTCTTCTCTTCTACCCTTATCACCGGAAGTCTGTTTAACCACGATATCTATTAAGTAATAATCGCGACAGTTCCACACAAGTACCAGAGGGTAAAAAAAGAAGAAGGGAGCGTGCGTCGCATGGTTGTCGATAGAGGGGGAAATCTCTTCCAACCCCTGGTATCAGCCCCTGAAACACGCTCGTCGCCCAATTCGGTGTCTGCTACTCGACTCGGGGGTGTAAAAGTGCCGAGGGGAGCATTTGGACAGTCACCCGTTTCGAAACGCCGGCGCTTTTACGGTGGTGGGATGCAATCCAGAACACCTTTTCTAATCACCCTCTAATCGCTTCTCTCTGTTTGTGGGAAACCGCATCACAGTCTCTCCCTCTTCCCCTTCTGATCGGTGAACGCTTTTCTCCCTTTCCATCCGTCTTTCTTTCACTTTTTTTGTTTATGGCCTTTTCGCGCGATTACTCTAATCAAATTTAGCGACACCTCTGTCACTACAGAGGTTGTTTCACAAAGAAATCGCGTACAATCTTTTAGAGAAATAACGTAAAATCGAAGAAACCGTAAGTGATGCGCGAGTAGAGAACCGACAAATTTCACGACTAATGTCGTGGACGGTGAAATTGTGGCGGAAAAGCGTGGTTCTCATAAAAGGCGTGGTAATCGGTCGTCTGGCATCAAAGGAAAAAATTAGTCGTGTTTAGAAGTGGTTACTCGATCGTGCGGCATTTTCTTTGACAAACGCCTCCAAGACTGTCAAGAAGTTTCTGTGGCCAGACTGCCGACCAGCCACTCGACCAATCACTTTCTTTGCTATCTACCAGAAAAACCAGAAAAAAATATGAACGAGAAAAAATCGAAGAGCAAGAAGAACGTACCTATACGTGAGCACGGTGAAATAATTTCAGAACTCTGTCTCGCGCGATTTATTTTATCGTGGGTTTAGCGCTGCTATATTCGAACAGTTATCTTCGTGCTTTTTCTAATTAATTAGTAGTTACTCTGTCTTGGACAGTTACGACCACAGAATTTTACTTAAAAGGCTATTAATACGACTGATAAATAATTTGTGTGAACATGTGTATCGTGTCTGGCGACAATCGGGTATAAAACCAGATGCCTACGCTTATCGCTAACAATTTACTACACCTCTTTTTCCTCATTAACTTCTCGTAACTTCGTAATATACATTTATGAGTATGACTCGCTCGATTAACATTCTTCGATCGTCGATTAATGAATCACACACATACATGCGTATATACTTTGTCATCTGGAATTACACATTTTAAATCGTGTGCGTGCATAAACGATATGATTACCGATAATTAGCATGATCGAGGCGACGAGGAGCACGTGTGATGCTGGAACAGGAAAACAGGTGTCAACTTTTGTATTTATGCGACAGGTTGTGCCGGTCAGAGGAACGTCCCATGGGATTATTACCGATTAGGGTGAATCCCTTTGACGGTAAAGAATACTCCCGGACGTTCTTTCAGCTCCGGTCGTAAGACTAAAGACACGACAATTAATCGTAACGCGCCGGAAACGGTAAACATAAAAGTTGATACATCTCTTTTATACGCTGCCACTTCCGTACCACCGATCTCTTTACATTACGGCGATTATTATAATTTAAGGTATTCCGCAGTTATCCTCCATCAATTTGTTATTCGCAAAATACAAAAATAAACACGACAATGTAACGAGTTCAAACTGAAAATATATTGGTAACGTTAAACACGCCATTTTGGAGATAATGGATGAAGTTGAGATCGGTAAAAGCAGAAGAAGAAGAAGAAGAAGAAGGAGCTTGTCGAGAAGAAAAAGAAATTGATGGTTACGCCCTTGTCTCAAATTACTTAGGATGAGGTCGTAGCAGTAGTGGGCGTCGATCGGTAGGATCTCTTACATGAAACTCGATACGGATTTTTTCCTCTAACTAAATGACATGCAAACTTTTTACAGAAATTTTCTGACATTCGACGATCTTTTTATTTCCACGTTCAAATAAGCTCCTTTCTTCTTTACCCTTTTTGCAGCATCAAGCAAGCTTTCATTTTGCATCCCTCTATGTTTTACGGTATTCAAAATTTCTTTGAATTATTCTGTTAAAATCGTTGCAAATTCTGTTGCACAATGTGTACAAAATTTATAGATACATAGAAGTATCGAAGAAACAGATGAATATTTTATTACGAAAGTGATGGATTGTAAAGGGGGGAAAGGTTGACCTTCGAATTTCACTTGGCGCCAGCATCGCTCGTCGCAGAATTTCGGCGTTTAGAAATTTATGAGTTTTCCCTCGACATTTGTGAACGAAGAGAAAGAGAAAATAATCGCTGACGTAGGTAACCGAAAAGTTTCGTCCCTCATATGCAACCACTTGAGATTCTTTCCTTCTCTCTTCCTTCCTTTTTTATTGCAGCCTCTTCGTATTTCACACTCGTTCGAACTTCCAATTTGTCCTCTTTCTTGTACCATCTTCTTTATTACGATGAAAGTGTTCACCAAATATGGGTCTTTTTAAGTTCATCGAACGATAATACTTCAAGCTCTTTGTTCTTTTCGTTATTTACCACATTTGCGTCATGAACATTTGAAGTTCATAATGTTATTTAAAAAAGCTCTTCGAGTTCTTGAAGACATCTCTCGAAAAGACATCGGTCCCAATCGAAGTGTGGGACCGCAGAATTTTCTCAAGGTTGTGACTTAAATGAAACATCCACGTGCGTGCCAGATATTAAGAGGAACCGTATTTCCTTCGAGCTCCTCGAACTCTTACAAAGACTATGTTGATTTTGCATTGTGAGTAGGATAGCTAACGCCCAACAGATGCAGTCAAGTTTGTGGTGCATTGTGTCCTATGTATTCGGTTACGTTTTATTGCGTTGCTTGTCTTCCTCGGTGACGCGTGACACACGTTCTTCCTCCATGAAAGACGCTCACCGAAGAAAAGAAAACTCCCTCGTCGAGGGAGGTCGGCGCCAGTCTCATCGAGCGATCCTTCGTTCTCGTCGATATCGCGAAAAAAACTGTCCAGGACACGAGATCGGTGTCCTCGAAATTGGAGAACGTCCAACGGGTGATCCGACACGGTGTCCTTGAAATTCGAGATACTAAGCCGGAAGCAAGATGCGTCGCGATGCGCCGGAACAAAAATTTTTACGCTACTCTAGCTTTTGTGCAATTTGTTAATTAAATAACGTGGTAAACAGCAACCTAAACCAACACAAATTACCCACAAACATCGATATGTTCTGTATAATCCCGTTAAGTAATATCGATTCTGAAATGAATGGGTCCATGCAAGAACGGAGTTTGTGGATAAGATCGTTATTCGCGCAACGCATTTAGTTATTACCGAACAACGAATGACAGTTCGTGATTGCGTAAATTGGGGTGTCGTTTGAAGAAGGCGGCAGAAGGACGAAAGGACGAACAGCACCCCGTGGCGACGAACACAAGGGAATGGATTTCAGCCGGTGGTCGACATCTGCGAGCCCACCGTTTTTCCGCAATGAAAACGTTACCGAGGCATTCGTCCTTTCTATTCTCTTCCACGATTTACTCGCTTCCCGCTTCATGAATGTTCGGCCGCCTTTTTTCTTCCACGCGTTATTAGCATACACAATGAACCGAAAAACATGCTTCCGAAAATGTGCATCGTTACTATACGCATCAGGACGGAATATACTTCATCTGTTTGTGGCCGTAGATAATTAAATAATCATACTTCCTAACTGTATTTGGAAAAGAAGAAATTTGAAGGTAAATGTTGAACAATTTGAAGAAGATTGAGTAGCATATTTTTTTGAAAAGTGTAATGACACTTTAGAATTTTACAAATGCACCAGCTTTTCCAGATAGAAACTGTGGTCATTAAGACGAAAGGTCGAAATACACTTGACCGAAGTGTTCGTGAAAATATTAGGTCTATTTTCCCACGGAAGGGAGATGGTCCCAAGGGTGCTTTAAGCACGTGTTGCAACTGCACTTGCAACCCTTAAAACGCCACCGTCCTCTGTTAAATAGTGTCATCAAATTCCCACATACCAAACGTGTTTTGGCACTGTTTCACTACAATTTATGTTACCCCCGTATGATTTTTATTCTCCAATCCATTAGAGGGTAGCTAAAATCACCCCTTTTATACGATCGATATCCTTGGAAGCATGTAAAATCAAATATTCAAAAATAACAAAAATAGATGGGTTTGAAAGGACAGCGACAACAAAAATCAACACCGAAATAAGAAGAAAAGAGGTTCGATTGGCCGAGAAGTTTCAGGAAAATCAATTTCTCAAAAGGCTTCTTCCTCGATCGTATCGTATCGATTTCTTCCACGGACAAAAACAAAGCTCTATTGTCTTCTAGTTTCACCAGCAGGTAGTTCCTCCTCGTCTAGCTTTTTGGAAAAAGAAATAGATACATGTACCTAATTTACGTATGCACTCGAGCATTATGCAGGCTTTCTTTGACAAAAAATAATTGTAGTAAAAATAATTTGCTTTCGTATTTTTTTTTATTGTAAAAAGGTATAACGGTTTTTAATACAAGAAAAAGAAAACATTTCGCGTTATAAAACTTATTACTGCATATTACATTCATAATATTATTATATGTATAATTGAAACGAGAACATTCGATGTTATAAAAAATTCGTGTTCAAGTAATAATTAAGTTACAGCTATCGTATACTTGACAAGATTCAACGATCTTTATAGGTTTCGATTTCCCCGCTTCATAATTTGTAAGCTACAATTAAAGAAGATTAATATATAATACTGTACTGCGTATTGCGTTCAAATTTATTATCGACTAAATTCAGGATAAATAATAAGAATATTTGTTGCATAAATATTGAATATGTTAATCGACTTCTTTTCTATTAATCTTAACGTCTATATCTTGAAGCGTCCACAACCATGTAAAAGTATTAGTAGGAAGAACTATGCAACGTTAACAGCCAATTTGATATATTTTAAATCAATGTATTTACTTCGAATTTAAATTAAAATTTAAAGTATGTTAAAGAGTTCGGTTGAAATTTGAATATATAGAATTTTTATTTTAATTAGAATGCTAATTATTTTAAGTTGAAGGCGCTATTCCGTGTTGTCGATTTCAGCTACCAATCATGACGAAAGACGACATATCATTTTGCCACGGAGAATACATTTCGTCAGTTCCTAATTCGTTCATCAAGAAGAAGGCAATGTACGTTACAATTTAATCGATATCATCGTTGGTTTCACAGCTTATTTGTACCTTTATTTCCTAACTATAAACTATACAACCTTACGCCAACGTCAATGAGTCAACATCGACTACGTATACGTGCAGGATAAATTCAATAATCCTGTTACCATCATCGAAAGAACGATTCTTTACAGAAATATAAATATGCTTTAAAAAATTCTTTTAACAAACATAAATATAATCGAACGTTCAATTTATTTTCGTAAAGAGAATCGTCCTTTTTCTTTTGATTATCGCATCAGAAATTCCATCGTTAGTAATTGATAATTTATAGATAGTTATCAGAATATTCTCTTTATAAGTAGTGCTTTTAAACGGATCCATTCGATTTAACAAACGCTTTTCCGATATTGTTTACACTCTTCCTGCATAAATTAGAAGAAGAAGAAAACTCACTGAATTACTTTTAGACGTGTCTGCCCTAAAAATCTGTGTAAACATTATCAAAGAAGTCGTTATCAATAATGTCAAACAGATCCTTTTAAACTGCATGGTAGGATCACTAAAAATATACTGATTTTATGTAAAAATATAAATAGTAATAATAATAATGTGTACTCTTTTCACTAACCAGCTTTCTATCTCTTGGAAATATACATAACTGGGTTTTGTAATGTAGCGCGATCCTACATAAAACACCAGGTGAGATCGTACTATATTTTCGAACCCAACTATATTAACAACCACGCCCATAAAATATGTATAACAATAGTTCGAAGATGCTATTAATTATCCATATAAAGAGTCCTTGGAGCAACAACTTTTTCCTACGTTTTCCGATATCTTCCGCAATTGAATAAATACTTGACCAGCAAGTACGTTTAAGTTCGATCAACCAGTCACTCGATCAACTTCTGTTCACCGTCGTCGTTTCACTGGCTCTGTCTCTCCTCGTCAAATCATCGCTGATGATCGATTCGTAATCGTGACTAGGTGTTTTTTCTATTTCCAACTTCTGAAACTCTTCCGAGTCCGAATCGAAACCGTTGTTTCGATGACTATTCCGAACTTTTGGCCAGGTGTTGTTGTTTTTCGATTCGTCCGTTACGAAGATGAAGGGGCAGTTGTCCCTGTCGTGTTTCAAATCTTGCGAACAATTGGTGTCGAAGATTCCTTGCTGGTAATTAACGTTCCCGGCGGAATCGTAGACGCTACCGTTGCTGGAATCGTTCGAGTCGAAGCTAGTTTGGGAGATGTTGGGCGACGATTCTTCCGTAGATCGATACATCCCCTTGCCGGAATCGAGAGAACCGAATATTTGTTCTTGATCCGGTTTATAACCGAGGTTCGATTGTCCTTTCATGTAGAAAAAGAACATGCGATCGAGGGTCATGAACGGCATCTCGAAACAGAGGGTCCAGATAACGGATAGCAGCAATGTGAGGCACAGATTGCTGAAGAAACTGCGAAGCTGAAAAGTTTCTTTGATAAGTACTCTGGTTCAGGTTTAATAATATGAATTGCAACTTGAAATTGAACTTTGGCTTGATCATTCAACTACGAAATAACTCTGAACTTGAACTTGTACCTAAACTTTAAATTGAATTCAATTTGAATATTTGTAAAGAATCGAATACTTACGATTCCCATCGAGGAAAGTATGCCAGCGGTTCGAGTGGATCCAATGTCTGTCAATAAAAATACGTAGTGACAAAGGTAAGCACTGTAAGTCAGCCTGCTAAAGGGAACCCAACCATTCCAAGACAGGAACTGACCCACGAAACCTTCAAAATAAAAAAAAACGATTGTGTCACTTGCTCACTCAATTAAATATCACTTGGCAAGTAAAACAGATTTGAATGAAAAATTACCAGCATATCCATGTACGCTACAAAAGATGATCCAAGAAACAGACAACGCAAAGATTTGCCTGTGGAAACCAGCGTAGAAGCTCGCTTCCAATCTGTCGTAAGGATGATCATCGTAATACATCCACCGAGGAAAAACAATGACGAAAAATGCAGCAAAGAATGCGACCAACCAGCCGAAAATTACGTACGTCTAAACAAGGAACGACGGGTGTCAGAAAAATATTCTTCGATGCGTTTTAAATGAAATATTTCAAATATGTAAATACTTACTCGATGTATTTTCACGACTTTCGTACGAAATTTGTACAAGATATAACCGACAGCCAATCCGATTATGTAAGATCCGTATCTGCTGTAAACCTTCGTGTAAATTTGTATGTAAACATCGGCGACGTCCGTGTTACTAATAACAAAGAGAAAAGAGTCATTAACTAAATGCTGAGACAATCTGTTCGTTTAATGTACTGCTACTGTTAAGCGGGTGCACGTGGAAAATAGTAAATGAAAAAGCGGATAACGCGAGAAAAGAAGTGGTAACTCGTGAGATAAATCGGACGCAAATAGTAGGTGGAAGAAGATGCGATGAAGCTGGTGAAAGTGAAATAAGAAGTGAAAAAGAAGGAGAACGATAGATGAGAGCGGGTAAATTATCTACATCTACACTCACTCCTTGTAATAGAGCATAGTTCCAGTGAGCCTGAGACTGAATGTTATTAAAAACGGTATAAGAATTGATGCAACGAGGCCAAACGCGAACACTAGCCAGAAGAAGATTTTTCGCGTGAACTTGAGCATAGGATACAAGAAAATCGGCGACAGCCAGACCAGTTGCATATCGGTTGCCAAATACCAAGACTGAGACATGCACTAAAAACAGAATTAAGAAATAACAAAATTATTGAATAGGGTAGCACGAAGGAGAGGCGAAATATTTACATATTAAATCAGCCGAAAATTCATGAAACGTATACTACTGCGCTAAAAGTAGTACGATATCAGCGAATCGAAAGGAAAAAAAATCCATATTTTGATTCTACTAGATTGGCTGACTAGTTTCGTTCGTTCTACTGCCGCCACGTTTCGTAAGTAGTAAACATTACGAAAACGCTGACACGCCCAACAAATTCATGAGAGCACGAAATTTTAGAGTTTCTCGCGTGCATAATTCGAAATTATTTTTAAATATATTTAACACAAGAAGTGAAACACCTCTTAAATTTCTTCTACAACTACATACTCGAAAAACTACGTACTAGAAAATTCAGTTCATGCGCGGTACAGAGTGCACACACCTAAACTCATAATTTTCGTATGGTACTTACCATTCTTGGTAGATGAACGTAATTGTTAACGTAGAGCAGATTCGACCACCAGTTTTCGCGACAGTATTCCCTGTTGGCGCCAACCCATTGATCCCAATGTGGGCCAGATCCGAATTTATAGAAGATGGTAGCATAAAAACCGATCATCATAGCGTATGCTGGTGTTAATCTAAAGTAGCGATGAAGGTATAAACCGATCACGTTGAAACGTCTTTTCACATCTTTCCCGATCTTCATCATCGCGGTGTACGCCATTAGGACACCGCTTATGAGGAAGAACGTGTCAGTGACGATATTTGCGTTCAAGACAAACATGTTGGCCCAGTTTGTGTGCATCTATTAAAGAGAAAGTACGAATGTTTAAATATACAAACTCGCAAGCTCGTACAGTTACAAAATCATTAATTCACGAATGTGCGAATATTTCTTTGGTTCAAAAATTGTTAAACGAGATTCCAAACTCTGAAACTGCGGATCGTAAAACCTGTAAATTTGAAAATTTCTCGTACCTGTGAAATCTTGTTCAGATTCATTTTAACACCCACAACCTCGGTATAATGCGTGTGACCATAAATTATCCAACAAATGCTAAGGTAACGCAGTCCATCCAAACACTTGATGGACTCTTTCCTTCCGTTCGTTTTCAATAAATTTTTTCCATTCGTGTAGATCGAAAACGAAGTAAGAAGAACGTGTCTCCTACCTGAACAGACATGACTAATTTAATAACAATGTTATTTGTTAACCATAACAATTTGCTGCGTTCACAAAGGTGCGCGTGTAAAAAATGCAAAATATTATGAAATAACAAAGTTAAAAAATTGCAAATGTACAGATTCGCAAGCGTCGAAATGTTAAAGAAATTTGTAGAATTCGTGATTAATTTTCATTTACTTAAGATAACAAACAACCCACCTTGTCGGTTTAACGTACTCAAACGGCCTTGCTTAGCGATGTCGTAACTGGTGCTGGCGATAACGATCACTAGGAATATCGCGAGAACCGAGCTATAATTTCATACGATTCATATTAACGACTTTTTTGCAAAAAGAATACGTAATGATTCTATTTGGGGAAATGCAAACACACGAACACAGACACACGGACTATTCAGAAATAGTTCTTAGAGTGCAAACAACTATAACTATATTTTGTTAAATACCGGATACATATAATATACAGTGACGGACAGAAGAAAGTTCAAAACAGCCACTTGCGTATGCGAGTATTTGTAAGTTACATAAGGTATGAATGTAGTACTTGAGCAAATGTAAATATGACATTAGCATAAAAACATGCAATTCAATTTACCTTTGTCCAGTTAGTTTCATCATCTGTTACAGTCTTTCAAATAAAACATGCACTTCTCTTTTCCGTGCTTGGTTTTTTGCTCTTTTTTTTCTACCCGTATCGTTTTAGACTTTCTTTTATCCACCACTGTCTATAATATAGCGATGGTAAGATCGAGTGTTCAGTCGCTGCTATTCTAATAATTATAAAATAACAAAATTTCTACGAAATAAAATCGGGATGGATTTAACCTTGCACTCAAAGTTTCTCACAAACAACGACACATCCTCGTTCCGTTATGGTAAAAACCACGAATGTTTGCAACTCGATAAATGTACGTACATATAAATCCAGTCGGTTACGTCAAAAACAGGTTGATCCGATTCTGCGGTGCGACACGACACGTTTACCACCATGTCCACGCGATCTTCCACCTTCAAAGGGTCGAGGGCGAGCTCAAGGGCTTCTTGTATATCCGTGTGGTTACAACTCGACGGAACACACCACATCCACTCGTAGATCACCGTACTACCCGATTTCCATTTCGTGTGGCCCTGAATTCGCAAAAATTTCGAACATTAACTCGTATTTTCGTAAAATAGAGATAGAAGACACGGCCGCAGAGGAAGCAGTTTTATAGGATAAATAATTCAGATCCATGAATTCTAGCGACTAGGAAATCTCTCGTATAGCGCTATTTTTATTTGCAATAAACAAATTCATGAAAGAGAAAGATAATATGGTCAATTAGCAGTGTTATTTTTACTGGCAAGTCATTCGAGTAATCTGAATTCATTTGTTTTATGTATTGATTAGGTATCGTTACATTGTTGATAAGTATTACGAAAGGGAAATTTCGAACGAATTAAGATTCGAAATTAATTGAATTTTGCTCCGGCTAAACTCCCCGATAACAAATTTTTGGTTCAATGATAAGTAATCTTGATACTGCGATACGCGCTGAATGACTTGATAAATATAATCATTAATAAGATCAGGCGATGATAATATTTTCGAACAATGACCGATAAGGTGTTCAATCGGTTCGGGGTCACGTGTATTATCGGAATAAAGAAAAAAAGATCTCGTTATCGTTGAATTTTCAAAAGACTTCTTTTTCTTTTACGAGAGCTAATTGATACGTTCGTTAAAGATTAATTGATCGTTAAACAAACGTGTTAATCGCGTTTACTTACCGATGCAATAGCTACGTTGACAAGCAGATCACCTATATCAGGCTCCCGTGGTTTACCATTGTCCTTGGCGATTTCGAAATTCACCATGGCGCTGCAGGCCTTCCCCGTGAATCCGTGTTCGCTTTTTACCAGCAAACACTCGTCGTAATTACCAAGCTGCTGGTAATTACCCGTGATTACGCCCGATGGAATTTTCACGGACGCGTCGTACACTGGAATTCAGAAGGAAGAAGGTCTTTACACTTTCTTCTAACTAATTATTTTCCTTTCTTTCTTAGCTTATCTTTTGCTCGCTTTTAGACCCATTCGACGTTATCGATAGACTATGAGCATTTATGCAAATATTTATTTTCATATTAAATTGTCGATTTCGAAAAAGTAAGTAGCATCGAGCATCGCCAAAGATCAAAGTACTTGAAGTTGAATGACGAGGAGGATGAGGAACTGTTCGATGATTAACGGGTAAAGAAATATTATTTTCATCGATATTTGAGGATCGCGAAATCTTGCGAACACGTGCCGGTCTCTTTGGCATTTAATAATAATCGATGGCGGTTTATCAGAAATCCACTGGAACCGGTTGACGTTGTACGACGAAGCGTCAAGGAGTTCTTCTGTCCTCAATCTTCTAGATGATAACAACATTTCACATTTTGAAAAAAAAAGAAGAGGTGATCGAACTGGATGCTTACGATTTATTTCTCGATATTCATTCTCGTTTTTTTTTTCACTCGGCATACGAAATTTTTTCAGTTTATGCATACATTTTTATCGCTCTGAATGTCAATATACTAATAAATGTATGTATGTACCTTAATCTCAAAATATCAGCGAACCAATTAATTTGCAACTTTCCCGTTCTTTTATCGGTGCAGGAAAGTTTCACAAAAATGTCAATAAATTTGTTGTCATTTTAATAATTCCTATACGACACGCGTATTAAATTTCCATGAACTGAAATCCTTTGACGTCGGTGCTCGGTGTACCGATAAGATACACGAACAATGAAAATGAAATATTTTTGCGACAAAACAAATATCAAAGTTAAAAAATACCATTACGCATTTTCCTGCTCGCTTTTTCCTCCTTTTATCATTATCAACTTCCTACTAAATTACCTACATGCATTTCTTCTTCCTTACTTGTTAAAATAGGCTGTGCAATCTTGTTCGGGTTAGTTTAAATTAGAGATACAGAAACAGAAAAGTACAAGAATATTACGGCACGTGTAGATGCAAAAATTGAACATCGACGGAAATGAAAATTCAGCGTGCTTTCGAATTCAGTATTGCCAGCAAAAGTCGAACCTGTATGGTAATAATTTGCGGAGAGCGACGTATTTAGGTGAACGAGAACCGCATGAAAATTAAACAAGATGCAAAACGGCGATGCCTCGTGCGATACGCGTACCTTGACTTCGAAACGTGATTGGAAACGAGGGAACAGAATCGGATCACGTGTAAAGCAGAAAACAATGCGTAATTCCCGGTATAAATATGATACGGACATTATTGTTTCATGAACGATTATCATATTACGATAGAATATTCTGTCGATGCCTTGAATTTTATCGTTATATCTTTTCCTTCTGAACGAGTTCGAACCAATTCGAACAAAGGAAACTAGTCGTATCGATAGACCATCTTCAAGGTTTAATCGAAACGAAGAAAAGAAGAGGAAATTGTTATGACTCAAAGAAGTCGTGTGTATCGATGTTGATCAGCGATACGATACTGCAACGACTCAATGTCGCTCGTTCGATGCTCGCTGCAACTGCATTCACGGAAGTGCATCGCCAGCGGGTGCAAGATTATAGCAAGTTGACGGGAAGTCGCGGTGAATTGCGTGAATCGTGAAACGGGTCGGCAGATAAATGATTAATGAGAAAAAAAATAACAGTCGCTAGTGATAGCTCGGATTTTTCATTGATTCACGATAGCGAGCATGTGCTGGTAAACAACTACATTCGACCGAATACAGAGGGATCTGTTAAGTCATCTAATAAGTTGCATCCTATGCGCCCTAAGATAAAACAAACAGGTACCTTCGTATTCGCTAGTTGGAAATACTTTTGACGCTAACTTTGCGCGTCATGATCAAGCAACAAATAGGGAATTGATCTATACATATATATGCTATACACTTATATGTAAATGCGGAGTATTTAGACCATTTGTTCCGGAATGTTTAAAGCAAGGACAGTCATTATTACACGATGAAATTCATTACATAACTTATGATAAAACAACCTTTTAATGCCGGCAGTGTTATGGTCTTAACAAATTAGCTCATGGTTCAACAGATTATTGCTAAAAAAATAAAGCGAACGATCAAATATTTGAAGCAGTTGAAATAAGTAAAATCGCACGTTCTTCGAGACGACGCGTTAACAATGATATTAATAATCATTTGTTTCGTACTGTAATCAATGCTTCAGCTAGTCCGTGTTTAGATCGTAGCCTGTATTTAGACCACTTCCTCCATCGTAGTTTAACAGCCAGCGAAGGTGAAGAATTGCATGGCCGCTTCTTGCTTGCGAAACAATTATATTTCTTCCAAGATAATGGAAAAGTTAATATATGCCGATGAACGGAAATGTATCGACGATTGGAAACGAATCTCGCGTTGACCTAATATATCTATTTGACGAATCGCATCGATAGGAGACCGCGGCCGTGTAAACATGTCCGGTTACATAAACGCCGGCGCTGTTTTATATAGATATTGCGCAAAATTGTTGAACGTCGGTAGTAAAAAATACCAGAGACGAACAATGCCGAGTACATGTGGAATTTTTTGACGCTGATAATTTTCTGCGTCGACTTGCAATAGATCTCGCGTCATTATCGTAGAAACGATTCGTGGAATCGGATGTCTTTTACCTCTCCCAGGACCTTGAGATCGTTGACTCGATAGGTCTGGGTTAGGTTAGGTATTCCCCGCGGTACAATAACGCGCTGATATACCGGTTGCAATTTTTATTGTTTCGTATTACACTTTTCATGACTTTTTACGATCGGTAAGTGGCACTTGGCAAACAATATCTGTCGTAACATTGTTTAACTGCGTCATCGTGGTTAGACGAGATAAAGGAAGCTGCGTTCTCTTACGAATCCAGTAATTTAAATGTTATAAGTGTTAAACATCGAACATGTAAATAAAGAACACGAAAACACCGAGGGTCAGAATATCAGGGATAAAGATGTTTATCGTGAAAATTCTAATAATTACGTAATTGTAAATGCGCAAATGTTCACTTGATATTCAAATAGGAACTTCATAAATCGCATACGAAGATTAATGATATCGGCATTCATCTTCCTGCGTCGTCTCTTTAAATATTCATCGATACATATTCGGAATAAAAATGTTGCATTCGACCATCCTTGAACTGCAGGTTGACTCGTGCAGTTTGTTGCCCGATCTTTATACGTTCGTTCCTCTAGCAAATATCTTTCGGATTGGTTCCTGAAAAGGTCCCGGAATAAACGATTCGTAGAAACGGAGAAATACGGAGGAAGAATGCCGAACAAAAAACAAGAAGAAATCGTGAGATTGATGGGACTCGTTTGACTTATCCTTTCAAAATTATTAATGCAGGAAGAAAGATCAACGCGTTGATTGACATCATGCATATTCTATACCTGACACGATGCGTTAAAATTGAAATTATCAAGGACACGTTCCAAGAAAATATTTCGCTTCACGCGGACTCGACCATAATCAATATTTAATAAGATCGTAAAAAATTGTAATAAACTACGCAAGCAAAGATAGAAGAAAAACAGTGGCTCTTTATGATGAATGGATCATCGCTTCTGCATCCGCAACAAGAGCGTTACAATGCATTCATAATAACAGCGATTAGTGTCGTCGAAACACGCGTATATACGTCAAAACGATAGATGTATAATTGTGGTGCCACCAATAGATAAGAGGATCGAAAATCAGAAAGAAATACATTAAAACGTTTCTCAGACTGCGACGCTGTACGTTCGATAACGATGTAGAAACCAGCAAAAAATGCGTTCAAATCGACGTATCGTCGCAAAAACGATATCGCTAATGAATAGAATCATTAGAATTAATGACGAGCAAACGATAACTTAGCCGATTATTTTACCATGAACAATAACATTGAAATAGAGAAAAGATTCTTCTGCTGTTATGCATATATGTATAAAAGATACACGATTATAAGTACAGTTGCACCCTTATTACATATGTTACAGTGGTATACATTGCCCTGTCTCATAATATTTGCTGATAAGCTTTGCTTCTATCGTTTGTTCTATATCTTTGCACCCTACGTCGCCTTGCCCCAAATCACCTTAGTCTATATAAACCTTGCTCCAGATCACCTCGGTGCTCTATCTTGTTTCGTTCTATGTCATTTTTCTCTGTATCGTCTTATTCTATCTCTCTGTCCTCTGTATCGCCTAGAATCAAATTCCACAGAGATCTGTAAAGATTTACTTGGATAATTTCACAATATCGAATAAGAAAAATATATTCGTGGCAATGTAACGGGAGTTTTCTGTACCACTATTGACATGTTTATGCAAGTCGAACGAGAGGAGATCCGCAATTCGCAAAGAGGAAAGATCGTTCGATCATCGATCAGCGAATAAAAAGATCGACTGCGATACACAAGGACGGTCAACGACACAGACGTTATTCCTTATTGACCCAGTTTGTATCCGTCTCATGACGCACATACCGATTCGACGTTGTCGCACGAACTTTTCGCCTTTCGCGATTCGCGTTTCGAAGTATCCTTTGTAGCTGGCATTTCCTCGTCGCGTCATCGTATCGATGCGATTTTCATTCGAATCGAGAAACGTCAATGCTCGAAAGGACGATGCAAAATGTCAGGTAAATAGTCGCTACTAGCATGTGGGGTACCTGACCGGTTCTAAGAATTTCTTCCCTGTAATTTCCTGGAAGGAGATGTTGAATTATGCCGGTAAAAAGCGAAAGGGATGTGTTAGGAATAGTTTCGTCGCCGCAAATTAAACTTTCGGAGAGTCCGAAGACAACTGACAGCGATCGAAAGCGTTCAAGGTAAAGCGAAAGTGTCCAAAGGCAACCGGATGCGCTTGGAGCCGACCGAATTCAAATTCGAATATAATTCGTCTATTTCGTTGTAAAGTCTTGGAACGATTGAAAACTCAAATAAGATAAATTAAAGGTCGTGCGATGCGGTCGAAAA